AGCGTTGAGAATTTTGTCGATTTTGTCAGTGACATCTTTGATATAAGGAAGAAAACCTTTCGTATGATAAGGATCTGAGTCTTTTGACTGAGATTGAGTGGAAGATTGATGTCCGTGGATGCTCCTATTAATGTGATCTTTGCAGTAACCGTTTTCAATGTGACCCTGTTTTAAACTAAAGAGTTCAGCGAATCTACTTGCATTATCGCAAAGAAGTATTGATCTGTAGACAAGGGTATTATTGACTGAATTAATTTGTGAAGGTGGTTAAAGATTAAGAATCTCTCTATATATTATACAGTCTATATTATCTTACTCTCGCCTCTTTTCCTTATAATTATATTGAAAGAAGGAATATCAAATAGGACCTCCATAGTTGCCGTTGGTGTGCCTATTCTTAGCCTCTGTGGTTTTTAGATAAGCAAGTCTCTGGATCTTGATAAACTGTTGGACGGTTATTTTTTGCTGCACCTTCGGCCACCATACTACTTATGCGTATTTAATTTTTGGATTTACCATCATTTTATAAATATATTATGTCTAGTTTTAAACCGCACGTTTCTTCATAAGTGTGCCTGATTACCATTAGCGTAATTACCGCTCTCTTGGTTACTCGTTCTATCAACGAATTCCCGGTAATCCTTGAATTTTATATTCTACCAGGATATTTTACTCACCAGATTTAGATTTATATTATTTAGGCTTAGAGGGTTAAATCCATATAAATTTCTCCTTTCAGTAAATTTCATGACTTTGGACTTCAAGAGGCTCTACTCTACATTTTAAGTTCATTAAATTTGCTGCGTGCTATGACCAGGTCTTTCACATGGCCCAGGACACATAATACCTGCCATTGCTTAGTCCATCTATTCAAACATGACCAGGTTGTATAAGAGATAAAATTTTCCCCTCCGAATAGTCACGGACTACTTATTGTTACACTGTATCACCTAGTAACGTTGATTATATCACACGGCTTCTCAGGATGCTGTATATCCGTCTACAGCTTATTTTGTATATCTTTTTAGACCAATTGCTCAAATGCGAAAAACTCAACAAATATATGTGGTCAACAAGATCAAGAGAAGCATGGAAAACGGAAAAAAATCTGAGAACAAACAGAAAAGAAACGAGTAGAATAGATTTAATAGAAGAAAGATTTTGGATCGAACACTACTCACAACTTTTGACTGAAACAAGAACTCAATTCACGAACATCAGTACAACAATATATGAACTGGAATTCAGTGAAGACGATGAAATAACAGTACAGGAAGTCGAGAATGCAACACGAACTCTAAAAAATCGGAAATCATGCGGACCACAAGGTATACCAAATGAATTATTAAAACATAGCCCACAAGTATTACGGGAATTACTGGCATATGTCTTCACCTTATTCTATAATGGACACGACTTATCAACGGAGTGGACAAAAGCACATATAAACAACATCCTCAAAAAAGGAGATAGAAAGAATTGTACAAACTACAGGGGACTAAGTGTCATAAATTCACTCTCAAGACTGTATGGAAAATAATAAAAAATAAAATTGAAAAAGAGATGACAGATGTAGAAGAACAGAATGGCTTTCGTGCAAGCAGATACTGTATGGACAGTATATTCTGTCTAAAACAAGTTATTGAGAAAAAATTAGCCCACCTTTCAACTCATATAGTCTTTATAGATCTGACAAAGGCATACGATAGTGTACCACTTTCAATGCTTTGGATAGCAATGGAAAAACAAGTAATTCTTAAAACTAAAAATAGATTGACTAGAGAAACTTCTATTTTCTAGAAGACTAGAGTTGATTTACAACTTGAAGTACAAGACCTTTGGCTACGGTATTTGCGTTTTTTTCTGTATATTATGGTCTTGTACCTAAAGGGTAATATATGTTTCCAGGTCACAGACCGACCATATTTTTATGCCATACTTATCTGGCTTTGAACGCATATACTGCTTGAAACTCCTACCTCTATACGCAACAAGTTGCTCATCTACCGTTATGTTTTTCTGAAAGTATTTCTGAAAGTTTTGGTGGACTGGATTCCACACATCGCGCATTGCTGCTAATTTGTTGTTCCTTCTTCGTTTAGACCTTGTGTCCTTATCGACAAACGGAACAAATCTTACCAAATTTTTAAATTGTTTTAACCTTATGGTAGCTTTAAATATAGTAGGTCCATAAAACTTATTCCAAAGTATATCTACATTATGGATGTTGGCTTTATCTACATTATGATTATGGATGTATGGAAAAGGAAATGTGAAGGATGGGAATACCAATCCGGAACAACTTCTTGTACACATTAAGCTTTGCAGATGACCAAGTGGTAACGGCTTAAGATAAAGAAGATCTGTGCAATATGCTCCGAAAATTAGAAAAGGAATACACAAAAATGGAAATAAACCTAGAAAAGACCGAATATTTAACAACAGAGCAAGAACCAGTGTAAAACTTGGAAATGGACGATAATAGGGAAATTAACGGCACTGAAAAATTCAAATATTTAGGATTCATTCTTTTAAAAAATGGAACCACCGAGCAAGAGATAACCAGCATATTAGCATAGACAATAATATGTATTAAACAAATGAATGGGGTACTGTGGGATATACAGATTACCAGAAATTCAAAGAAGAGCATTTATAACACCTTGGTACGCAGTATAATGACCTATGGAGCAGAGAATTGGGTAATAAATCAACAAAAGAGGTCCAAAATCACAGTAACCGAAATGGAGTTCATGAGAAGAAGCTGCATAGTGACAAAAATAGATCACATCAGAAATGAGAAGATAAAACAAAGAATGGCAGTAGAACAAGACATACTCAGCTACATTGAAGAAAAACGTTTAATTTGGTATGGACATGTGAGAAGAACAGATCATACAAGGTGGATAGCAAAGATTTGGGATTGAAGCCCAATAGGAAGGAGGAAAAGAAGTAGACCCCGAAGGTCATGAAGCGATGAAGTGGACGAGGCCATGGTAAAACGAAACCTTAGAGATGGAAAATAGCAGAAAAGAAAGGACTGGAGACATTGACTGAAAGAAGGTAGGCGGCGACAGCTGTAGAAATTCTTATATAGATAGATAGATAGGATGTTGGCACTTTAGTACCCTGCAGATATAGTAAGCCAATAAAGGCATATAGCTATATAGAGTCGCAATATTTTTACTTTTATTTCCGCAGGACTTTTTCAGCTTCTTTATTTGTACACTTTGGTATTTTGTTTACAATTTTTTCGTCCACAAACAAAGAAAGCAACCAACAGGATCATCTACACTTGAACAATGGGCTACTTTGCTACAAAAAGCACTTTGATTTTTATTATGTCGCAGGATTGCATGCGTCCTGTCGGTTATGATTAACTCCTCTAGTTAATTCCATCCTTAGTTTAAAAATTACATACATGTAATTTTTAAAAATCTTTGAACTTGTAACTTTACAATTAATTTAATATAATATGCATTATTTATTTCAAAATGTGTATAGGTACCTACCTAACAATATTATTGTATTGTAACAAAGATTATCAGTTTTTAAAATTCATTTAGGACAGATATAAAACCTATTGTAACCATCTCTTTGATCAAATGAAATCGTAGGCTTCCACGGCCAGAGTCAGAATTATAGTTTATTCGTCTTCTCTAGACAGGAAGATGGGTAGTTAGCAACGGTAACTCAGTTACTCAACGCAACCAGAGGCGAATACTAACTACCAAGATGGGCATTTGGTCACAGTAACTCAACTACTCAACGCAGCCAGAGGTGAAAACCAAATGCCAGGACAGGGATTCACGTCCAACAGCTCAGAACACTAACGCGTCGAGAGGAGGGGAGTGAATCCGACGATTACTCCGCTACCGCTCTATTTATAGTCGCGGTGCCTGTCGTGTCGGGACGTATCGGCACACTTCGTGGTGCGAACGTCAAGAAGCGCGAGCTGGCCAATCATGTGGCTGCGTCGTGGTAGCGGGACCGGACGGCGGCTCTAGACTGAGATTCCAGATGGGAGACAAGTAGTATCCTTCCTCTCGATTGATATTATGGGATTTTTTCGGATCTCTAGAGATTCGCGGATTTTCCTGGAATAAAAGAAGGGGCTTTTAGAAATAATATGGGTTTTTTAGAACAATATGGAATGACCGGTCTCTTGGCAGTGTTCTGCAACTGCAGAATGGGAGAAAAGACCTGATCGAATGCATCTTTGATGCTCTTGAATTCGAGTTTTGACGGAACGACCAGTTTCGCCAATATACACATGTCCACATGAACAAGGAATAGAATAGACACCACAGGAAGATAGGGGTGGTAATGGGTCCTTAGGAGAGGGTAGATATTGTGAGATTTTCTTGGGTGGTCGAAAAGTAGTCCTGATACCTTCTTTGCGAAGGATTTTGCCAATCCTATCAGTGACATTTCGAATATACGGAAAAAAAGCCACAGGAGTATTACCCGAAGATTCTGAATTTGTCGTCCTAGGGTGTAAAGGGGGGTGTAGATGTCGGTGTGTAATATTTTGAATTGTGGACTTGGAGTAACCGTTGGCGACAAGGGTTTTTTGCAGATGGCCAAGTTCTTCTCTAAGGTTGTCGGGTTCAGAAATCGAAATGACCCGATGGATGAGAGAGTTGATCACAGAATTCTTTTAGGCAGGATGGTGGTGTGATGAAGCATGTAGGTAACGATTCGTGTGAGTCTTTTTTCTATAAACAGAGTGACCCAATCGGCCATTGGGCTTGGAGGTGACTAACACATCGAGAAAGGGAAGGGACCGATTATTTTCTACTTCCATTGTGAATTTTATACTGTGAATATAACTCACAACATCCGAATATGGATGTTGTGAGTTATATTCACAGTATATATCCGAGCATATAATTATACGTCTCGAGCCCTTTGGACTTTGCCTAGACAAGGGTTAAAAATCTTCCATGGGCTTGTAGTCTATAAGTAATATAAAAAAGGTGTGGAAAAATACCAAAATTACCAAATAATTTTTAAATTTATTAAAACACAGGTTTTCATTCTACATTAACAATTGCCAAATAATTTTTAAATTTACTACAACACAAGTTTTCATTCTACATTACCAATTGCCAAATAATTTTTAAATTTATTACAACAAAGGTTTTCATTCTACATTAACTTAACATTATGTGCGTTATATTCTTAACACAATTTATTTCAGTCCATTGCTGCCTAGAAAACTACAAAATTCTAATGTTTTGGTCTAACTAACATTCGGGTTCCATATAAAAAGTATCCATCTGGAGATGAAATTTTGTCCCAGTTCATACCTTTACGCTTTAATTCTTCGACGTGTTTCATATTTCGGTGTTGTCCATTAGGATTGCTAGCGTAGCAGTTGTTGTACCACCAACCCCCCACTGCAAGCAAATAGCATTAGTTTAGAAAAAGTTACAACAATAGAATCTTTGAGAATGTTAATGTATAAAAAATATAATATATTATTGAAAAGGAGATTATCAATGTAAAACAGTTTAATAAAGGAAAAGCGTAAGAAATTTATATAAAATATTTGTCTTTCTTTCATTTTGCTGTTATTAACTATAAACTGAACATATTTGATATAATTTTGTTAATCCTTTAAGTATCTCTGGTATTACCCCTAATCCTAAAAATTCTAGATGAGAAGCACATTGATGTTTTAGTGGCACTCTTGATCCAAATTTATAGTTCAGGCGTATTACCCAAAGAGTAATTAACGTCGAGAGTGTAGAGTTGTGTTATAGAGGTAGCACCTTTTATCGGAACGACCACATCGAGCGTCATAGACGGGAGATGGTTCTTGATAACTGGTCCTCATAAGACACCCAACTCTCACTTATGGCTCCACGTGCCACACCCCGGGAAACTGCATTGGTCTGCAGGCTAAACTAAGTGAGGGTAGCCAGATATGGCGAAAATTTTACCGAGCGATTGCCGGTATAAGCGATTTCCCACTTGCTGACCAACGGATTCGGGCGGATGAGTTGGTAAGTGGTAGGGATCAAACTATTACGCAGCGTCTGACCCAGAGTGGGCGGCTGCAAATAGCGTCTGTGTCCAGAGGATCAGCTAAAATACAAACCAGAGAAGTCAACGGGAAACCACTCTGGTATATATTTCCCAAGAAAACTACAATGAAAGCACAAACAGAAATGGCCCCTAGTCCCCGGCAGATCTTAGATGATCAATGGGTGCGAAGAATCCCCGGGAGGAATAGACTAAATATTTTAAATACAAACTTTAAGATTGCAACAGGGAACGTTAGAAGTCTGTTCGAAACAGGAAAACTAGCAAATGTATGCCACGAAATGAAACGTTTAGGGTTGCAGATATTGGGTTTGAGTAAAGTTAGATGGCCAGCTTCAGGTAAAGTTAAAACCATGAACAAAACTTTCTATTACTCGGGTAATAATGATCCGGTCATCGTAACGAGGTTGGAGTAATTTTAGAAGACAAATATAACAATGCCGTCACAAACTTTGCGCCATTTTCGGACCGATGTCTTCTTATTCAACTATCCGGAAAGCCAGTAAATATTAAGATCATTCAAACTTATGCCATTACGGCCGATAAACCCATAGAAGAGCTAGAAGCGTGGTATGCTGACGTAGAAAAACTTATAAAGATGACCAAAAAACGAGACCTAACATATATTTTAGGTGACTTTAATGCTAAGTTAGGTAGAGGAAAAGTTTCTGGATTGATCGGAGACTTTGGACTTGGAGCAAGGAACGACAGGGGAGAGAGAATGACCGAATTCTGCCAACAACACAACATGGTAGCGACAAATACATGGTTTAAATTACACTCTCGCAGATTGTACCTTGGACTTCACCACAACACAATGAAAACAGAGTAATCCGTAACCAAATAGATTACATATTGGTCAACAAAAGATATCACAACGCAATCATCAGTGCAAAAACATATCCTGGAACTGACATCAATTCCGATCATAATCCTGTTGTTGCAAAAGTTCGAGCAAGATGGAAACTAATAAAGAAACAAAAACCTCAACACCAACTATTAGTTATCCATTTATTGAAAAACGACACCATACATCAGACAGTAAATAAAGAATTAAACAAAAATTTAGGAAATATCGACCACAACAGAATTAGCGAGTACGATGACATGAACGTTCTGTGGAAAATTATTAAAGAACAAATGAACAATTTAACGGATAAACATCTAAAAGTGACACCTAGAAACAACAAACAGGAATGGATGACAGAAGAGATTTTACAATTAATGTACAAACGAAGAGAATCTAAAGGAAAAAATGACAAGAACGGAGAATACAAAAAAATAGAATAATTCGAAAAACAAAACCGAAGCAAAATAGAAATGGCTGGAAACAAAATGCGTTGAAATAGAAGAACTGAAATAAAGGCAGGCTTTTTTTTAATTTACATAAAAAGGTAAAAGAGTTAACATCGACTACCAAGAGAACGACTTTTCACACCATGCTGAACACGGATGGCAAACTGCTAGAATCCACGGAAGATAAACTGAAAGAATGGGAAAACTATATTAAAATTGTTTTTCACGACATACAAGAAGAACCAAGATTGGAAAATAACAACGAAGGGCCAGCAACTCTGAAATCTGAAATCATAAATGCAATTAATCATCTCAAAACAAATAAAAGCCCAGGTCCAGACGGAATATACCCAAAAACGTTAAAATTAATCAGCGAAGAAAATATCGAAATATTTGTCCTTTTATTCAATCGCATTTATGATACAGGTAAAATACCCCAAGATTGGCTGGAGTCAATATTCATCCCACTACCAAAAAAGCCAAACCCACAACACTGCAATGAGTTCCGTCTGATAAGCCTTATGAGTCATGCAGTAAATGTCCTACTAAAAATCGTACATAATCGTATCTATAGAAAGTGCGAAAAAAATCATTGGAGACGATCAGTTTGGATTCAGAGCCGGCATGGGAACGAGAGAAGCCCTGTTCAGTTTACTAGTTCTCGCCTAAAAATGCTACGACCAACAGAAAATATATTTATATGCTTTATAGACTTCAAAAAGCATTTGATAGAGTAAGACACGACCTACTATTAGAACGTTTGCAAGAAGTCGGTTTAGATGGTAAAGACATTAAATTCTTAAAAATCTTGTACTGTAACCAAAACGCCAGAGTTAGGATCGAAGGTTCCACATCCGCAGAAGTAGAAATTAGGAGGAGAGTTAGACAAGGATGTGTTCTGTCGCCTCTGCTGTTTAATCTTTACTCCGAGTTTCTATTTAAAGAAGCATTGGAGGATTCCAAGCATGGAGTCAATGTGAATGGCGTAAATATCAACAGTAATCAGATACGCCGATGATACAGTGTTAATTGCGGATTCCGACTTAGGTCTACAAGGACTCATCGACAAGACCAACTCGACCTGTGAGCAATTTGGTATGAAAATAAACATTAAAAAAACCAAAGTGATGTCAATCCGAAAAAACCAAAACGTACATCAACCTTGCACAATAAATGGGCACATTTTAGAACAGGTCAATAGATTTAAATACCTGGGATGTTGGATCGATAGCAGCCTAAATCCTGATCTAGAAATAACATCGAGAATAGAACAGGCCAGAAAATCTTTCGAAATATTAAAAAAAACTGCTTTGTGATTCTCGAATAAAACTCGAAATTCGACTACGTTTATCAAAATGCTACGTCTGGTTGACTCTTCTATATGCAGTTGAAACGTGGACCCTTAAAACATCAACGGTAAATAAATTGAAGGCCTTTGAAATGTGGATCTACCGGAGAATACTTAAAATTTCACGGACATCGCATACCTCAAACGAAGAAGTGCTGCATAGAAAAAGGCAAGGAAAGAGAACTTAACACAGTAAAAGTTAGAAAAACATCATACCTAGGCCACATACTGAGAAATAATAAGTACCAATATGCCCAACTTATAGTGAAAGGAAAAATCGAGGGAAAGAGAGGCCTAGGAAGGAAAAGACTATCGTGGCTCAGAAACATCCGACAATGGACAAGGCTAAATTTTGAACAGCTAATAAGAACAGCCGAAGATAGAGAAGAGTGTAAAATTGAAGAGATCAGTTGTAAAATTTTATAGCTCTATAGATAATACGCAAAAAGATATTGTAAAAGCTCTAGAAGTTTTTTTAGTAGTGTCTTAGTGGCCTATGAATAGAAACCACTGGCGAATAGACTGGGGAAAGTCGAGGCTCAGCTAGGAATATTGTGCCACTGATGGTGATGATGCTATACTTTCTTATAATTCTTCTGAAAATAAATCATAGTAATTCTAATTAAAATTAAACATTTTAATATCTTTACTTTTTGTGCGGAAATTTTTCATACAATTCAAATATCCTAATGATAAATATTATTATTTTCTGTTAAAACTTAATAGATTTACGACTATTTTGATTTAAAAGTTATTAAGGACTTACTTGAAAAGTTTGCACAATTATCCTGGGGCCATTTATCCTGATCTAGATCCTTGGTGGTAAACTTTTGCCCCAGATGATAGTCCATATTATCTCCGGCAGTTCCGCTATAAGGTGAGGCAGCTTTTAAGATATAACCTTCCAGTTCTGGTCCAATGGAAAATCGTCCATAGTTTGCATAATACTTCACATCATTTTTGTCTGTTAATTCTACCAAAAGCTCCATGTCTTCAAACGCTAAAATGTATCAAGATTACATATTATATATGCCAACTGTTGGTCAGGTCAGAGAGACATTCAGTTGATCTGTCTTTTTTACTGACAAGAACCACGTGTTCAAGTCGAACAAAGAAATATGTTGCTCCTTAAGCATTAACATCTTCAACCATTGTCATCAACCTAGGGTCGATGTGTTATATCGATGATTATAATTTAAATTTAGATATGTAAAACCAAATATTGATGTCTCCACTGTAATTTTAGTGTTAGCTTCAAGTACAAAAAGAAGGTACTGAGGATGATCTGAGCTAGATCGAAAACGTTATGTATTTATAAATTTTGGACGACACTTAACAAGTTTTAAATTAAATGTTTTTATACCAATATACAAATTTAGAAGTTTTTTAATTCTCTATAAGTTTTTTAAAGCGTTATATTTCAGTACTAAAATTAATTTTTACTTTTGTTTATGAACGTGACTAAAAAAAACTCTTGCTCATTTAAAAAGGATTTAAAGAAATTGCACACATACCTGTAAGATAATATATCGTTTCGAGTCCAATCCAAAATTCACCTTCCAAGTTTCCAAATCCAAATTTGTAATCGCGCCAATTTCGGTAGAAATCTTCAGATCCATCAAATCTGTTTTGAATGTGGGTCCAACCACCACCTTGCAACTCCATATCACACAGGACCATAGTGGGTTTGGATTTGTTGTGAGGTAATATTTCATATATCCCTGAGATAATATTTCCTGTAAAATTTTAACTATGTAAATGACAAGACAAAGTAGCTGTTTGTATGAAATAATACAGCAAATAAGCTAAATTCGAGATGGAGAGACTACGAAACTCTGAGATAGTCAGAAAATTTGAACACAAAATTAAAGAAAAACCAGAAGACCAAATGAGTACTACTGTTAAAAACATAGATAATTACTGGAATGAGTGCGAAAATATTATAGTATATCTAGTATATATTATATAATATATACTAGAAGTAGCCACAACAGTTGTAGGAAAGAAGAAATAAGAAAGGAAGGGGACCGAATGGTATGATGCGGAATGCGCACAGACAACTAAAAAAATAAGAATCAGGCGTATGGGAAACTCCAAAACAGAAGGACAAGACAAAATCAAGAGGAGTACAAACAGATGATACCAGCAGAGAAAAAGATACTAAAATAAAAGAAAAAACGCCATTTAGAAAACCAGCTACAGGAACTAGAAAGGCTCAATTCACAAAGCGAAGCGCGAAAATTTTATAAAAATGTGAACCACAATAGAAAAGAGTTTAAACCTAGAATAACCATAATAAAAAGTAAGGAAGCCGAAATTGTCAATGAGCCGGATCAAATAGTAGAGAAATGGGCGGAGAATTTTGTTGAGAAATTAAATATAGGCAACTAAGAAGTGACTGACATAAATGACCACAGTGGAGACGCAAACGATGAGAGGGAGAAAAATAATATACCAACAGAAAAAGAAGTTGCCAAGGCAATAAAAAGGTTAAAATAACAAATCCCCTGGAGAAGATGGTATACCCCCTGAGCTGTTCAAGTATGGAGCAAACGTCCTAAAAAATACATAATAAAACTTGTTGTATCCATTTGGAGAGAAGGAAAACTCCCAGACAGTTGAAATGTAGGTCTCTCTCTTCAATCCTGACCCCCAGGGGGAGTGTAGTGGTCGACGTGATGTCGTGTATTGTCCGTCTCCAGAGATCTCTCTCTCTGGTCATTTCTTTTAATTCATGCACAGGTCTTTGGCATATTCCTGTAATTTGATCTATCCATCTTGTTGGGGATCTTCCTCGTGATCTTCGGCCTTCTACCTTTCCTTGTATTATGAGTCTTTCCATGTTTTCTGTGTTTGCTCTCATAATATGCCCAAAATATTTTAATTGTTGGAGATGGACTTTACTAGAGAGTCGTTGGCTAACTTTTAGCTCTCTTAAAATTGAATTATTTGTTCTGCGGTCAGTCCAAGGAATTCGTAACATTCTTCTCCAACAGAACATTTCAGTGGCGTCTATCTTTCTTCTCTCCGTTTGTCTCAGAGTCCAAGATTCACATCCGTAGGTCAGTATTAGGAATATTAAGCAGTTGATCAACCTCATCTTTATCGCTCTTGAAATTTGACAGTCCTTCCATATTTTGGTCATTTTTGCTGTGGCAACTTTTGCTAGATCAGATCTACGTTTAATCTCTTCTTGTAATGACCCTGTGTTTGTGATTGATGATCCCAGATATAAGTATGAGCTCACAACCTCGAACCGGTCAATTGTGGTTATGTGTGGATGATTGTTGTGAAGTCTATCCACTATCATGATCTTTGTCTTTGATATGTTTAATTGCAGACCAAATATTTGACTTTCGTTTTCGATCAGTCATATAAGTTCTATCAGCTCTGCTTGACTATTTGCAAGAAGGGCTGTGTCATCTGCGAAACGTAGGTTGTTTAGTTTATAACCATTTATTGAGATGCCCTTTTCCCATCCTTCAAGTGCTCTTCGCATAATATACTCCCCATATATGTTGAATAATTGTGAAGATAGTATACATCCTTGTCTGACACCCCGTTCTGGATGAAACTCTTTCGAAAGTGTGTCAAGTACTTTAACTGATCCAGTAGTGTGTTCATATAGTTTAGTTATAAGCGTAATTAGATGTTGTGGTACGCCTACTTCTTTTATTATTCGCCATAAGTGTCTCCACTTGACCCTGTCGAACGCTTCACGGTAATCTATAAAACAGATGTATAGTGGGATGTTGAATTCGCTAGATTTCTCGATTATCTGTCATATATTCAGCAGGTGTTCTCAAGTGCCTCTACCTTTGGTAAATCCAGTTTGCTCTTGTGGAATTTCTCTTTGAAGGAATGTTTTCAGTCTCCCATTGATTATATGTAGCATTATCTTGCTGGCATGGGATATAAGAGAGATAGTTCTATAATTGTCGCATTTATGGAAGCTGCCTTTTTTATGTATGGTCGTTATTGTAGATTTTGTCCAGTCTTCAGGCCATTGTTTGGAATGCAATATTTGGTTACAGAGTAGATGAAGTAACTCTACGCCGGTTTCTTCTGTGGCTTTAAGCATTTCTGCTGTTATCATATCTGGACCTGGTGCTTTGTTATATTTGAGCTTGTTGATAGCCTGTCTTACTTCATTTTCGAGTATATCAGTTTCTTCTTCCACCTCGTCAGAGATTTGGCTAACAAGCTCTTGGCGTTGATCATCTTTATATAGGTCCCTGCAATACGATCTCTATGTCTCTGCTATGTCTTCTCTGTTTGTTCTCAGGGTTCCAGTGTTATCTTCAATGGCCCAAGTTCTGGCTCTGAAGTCTTTTGTCAGGTAGCGTATTTTTCTAAATAGATCTCTCGGCTGATTATTCTGACCATGTCTCTCAATTTCTTTGCATATACTTTGATAGTACTGTTTTTTGTCGGCCTTACATCTTCGTTTTATTTCTTTATTGAGGTTTCTTAAACTAGCTTTTTCTCTTTCACTATGTACACCACTTTTACAAAGATTTCTTCTATTCTCAATTATTTTAAGAGTTTCATCTGTTATCCAGTGTTTCCGTTTCACCGGATTATTTTTCTTTGAGCGATCCACTGGTGTTGATACGCAATGTTTAACAGTCTCCCATATTTCTTGTGATGTTCCGTTACGAATAGAGGGCATACTTTTTTGTACTTCCTGTAGAAATGTAGGTAATATAATACCTATTCACAAAAAATGGGATCCACTAATATGTGACAACTATCGAGGCATTAACCTCCTAAATACGGCTTACAAAGTACTGGTTTACAAAGTACTGAAGAAAAAACAGGCAAATACCAATGTGGATTCCGAAAAGAAAGGTCAACAATTGATCGGATTTTTCGTCTCACACAAATCTTAGAAAAGACATATGAATATGGAATTGATATCCATCACCTCTTCATAGATTTGTGCTTAAGACAGTGTAGACAGAAGCGCACTTTATAACGCCATGGCAGAACTAGGTATTCCGTCGCATCTAATAACATTGGCAACTCTTTCAAAAGTTGAGTGCAAAGTCAAGGTACAAAACAGAGTGTCAAGGTCTTTTCAAACACATACTGGATTACACCAGGGAGACAGTCTATCGTGTCTATTGTTTAACATCGCGCTAGAAAGAGCCATAGAGAAATCGGGCATAACAACCAGAGATACGATCATCAATAGAAGTGTACAGATATTGGCCTACGCAAAACTGAAGTCCAAGATGACTTGAGGAATCTAGGGGTCAGAAATTGGAAAGCCAGGGCGAAGGATAGGGGGGAATGGAGACTAATTCTTGAACAGGGCAAGACCCACCCAGGGTTGTAGAGATAGAGAGAGATAATAGAGATGTATTATTAGATGTATGATAGAGAATATTAATTCTCTATCATACATCTAATAATAAAAATTTTATTTAAAGTACAATACATTCGAAATAAATCGCTGGTCAATTCAAGGTTCTTTCTTAGAGACGAAAGTTCTTTCTCTTACACAAAAAATAGTATGTAGTGTCCCAAAAGTGACATTCTTAGCAAAACTCAGCGTGTTCCTATGATTTTTAGAGGTTGATTGTCTTTTTCGTTAATTATTATAAGGAGAAGTACTTACCTTTTTCAAAAATTTCCTTACAATTTTTGGGAATTCGCTCTCCCCTATCTGGCAGCTTTTTGATTGGACAGGATTTGTCTTTACTCACTCCAACTAAGTTCTTACAATAACTGCTTTGACACACTTCGGGACAGAATGTTTGCTGAGATTTATCTAAAATGTGTTTTTATTTAATGTCATTTAATTAAAAATTAAAACAGTAGTAGCATTAAAGTGCCATTAAAAACATTTATACTTAGTTAAACTTGGATTTCGTTGAAACGAATTACTGTATTGAATCCATATGGTGGTAACTATTTTAACCCTATAACACCAAGTAAACGATTACTTTAAACGGAAAATTTAACTACTTATCTTAAGAATAAACACAAAAATATTATCAAAAACCAAAGCTTAGATACCTCACTCTAAGCATTGATTATAAACCACTACTAAAAACACTAAAACACTAAAAAAGCATCCATAGAGAATTTCTGATGCATGCACTGAACGAGTTTAATATTACAAGTTAACTCTTTGATATAGTAAAAGAAACATTTAAAGTAAAAAGCAAAATTCGATTTCAGAACAGTAGCAGTAACAGATACAATCCATGTGAGAACGGGCCTAGGACAGGGGAGATGCCCTATCATGTATTCTATTCAATATTACATTAGAGAAAATAATTAGAGAGTCAAAAGTCAACACCAGAGGAACAATAATAATAAAAAGATTACAAATATTATAAGAGTACAAAAAAAAATCTATAAAAATAAAATAAAACACAAGTTTTACCTACCAGTGGATTTAAGCATACTTTCAAAAGGACGTCGTGACTCAATTCTGTTGTCCAATTTACCTTCTACTACTGTAGTTATGTCTACTTCTATTGGAGTCTCCGAGGTGGCAGCATAACATGTCTAAAAAAAAATTTAATTATATATATATATATATATATATATATATATATATATATATATAGATATATATTATTGTGATATTTCAAGTCTTGGTGCGCCCAGCAATTAATTAGCTAATTAACTAATTAATTAATTAAAATTATTTAAATGATATGATTATGACTCTATCACACTTTCTAATTCTTTTATCTCAGGGTTAAATTCGTGCTTCAATATCTATGCTATTACATGTGAAAGGTAAGGTCCAAAGAATACCGGAATAATAAAAAACACATATGATATAACACTATATATTGAAATAAAAATAATGAAATAATTCACACTCAAATATTTTCAATAAACAAAATCTCATATAATGATTCTCAAAATTTTGTTCTACGTACTTGAACCTTCAAAATTAATGGTACAAACAATATAAATTGAAATCTCAAAATCCCAAATTATTCTAACTCTCCTAATCAAAATATTTATATCCTTTCTAAATTAAGTGTAAAAATTGTGTTATCAATAAAAGAAAAACTGCAGAAAACAAAAATATCTCTCTCTGATGATGAGTGGTCCAAATCCTTGTTCCTTGTAGACTATATTATCTACTCTCAACCGCTCCCTATGTAATCAGCAATCTTACAACAAATTGTTGCAAGTATATCGTCCTTAATGATCTCCTTCAAATGCACGAATCATTCAAATTATGATAGCCTTTCTCCTCTCGATAAACTGAATCTCTCGTTGGCCCGAGTGAAAAATGACTCTTGGAATATCTTCTCTTTACGATAAACTGAATCTTTTGTTGGCCTGAACAGTGACTCTTGGAATGTAAGTAGAAAAATATGACTTACAATATTTTGCTGCTTCAGTTTCTGTCAGATACACTAACTCCACAAAAACTCACTAACATTCAACACTACTGATTGCTACCTCTCGAGAACCGCCAGAGACCAATCACTGATCGTCTTACAGACTTGGAAAACCAACTGATTATCTTTTCTCTCTCAAAATCTAGCTAAACTTTCATTCCTACATACCTATCCCACCTTTTTTAATCTCCTCCAATCAAAGCTCGTCACAATTCTCCCATTTTTTCATTTCGATAACAAACAAATTTTTACCTATAATTATAAAATTTCCTAAAACTTATTTACAAATAATATTTTTCTACAATTCTTAAAAACTAACAAAAACCTCTTTCTAAAATCTATTCTATTGTCCTTAATCACTGCATTAATGTATTTGGAAAACCGGTTCAATTGTCTTTGGATTTCACTTAAAATTATGCGTGTCACTCAAGTATAACAAAGAAATAATTTATGCATAGCTTACATTTTGTTTAATACAGGTAATCCAAAAATTTAAAGACTTTCCTTCTTCGAAATGTTTGTTGGGTATTATCCTACTTATCTGAATTATTTTAATGTTTTTGAACTTTGAAATATTTTAAACAAACCAATATTTTTCTCGATTTTACATATCATAACAATATATATATATATATATATATATATATATATATGTCTGTATAAATTTCCGCAGTCAGATGAATGAAAATTACTAAGTTCTCGGAAAGAACCGCGTTGAGAATTTAAAACTCGACGTTTCGGCACCCATTTTGCAGTCATTATCAAGAGTGATACGGTTCTGTTCGAGTTGAGTTCGGCACTGAGGTCTCAATCTGCCTACTCATCTCGACACTGAGTCTCGGCTAAGTCATGTTGAAGTTGACTTGCAGTCACATGTCTTCGACGCAAAGGCTGAAGGACTAAAAATCTATTGTCATCATACGTAGTTGTTCTTGGCCCACCTGGTATAGCTCGTCTTTCATTAAGACCAGTCTCTCGGTACCTTACTACCACTCGTGATATTGTTGACTGATTTACACCCACTAAATTTGACTAGTTTGAACTATGTTTACCAAATCACTAATTAGTAATTCTTGTACCGGCATGTAAGTAGTATTTTTTGGTTACTTACTAATTTATTTCGATTTATTATTTGTCTGCTTTAATCAGTTTAATTCATATTAATAATCACAGATATACATTATTGGCATAATTGCTGTAATTTTCTTTATTAGACAGCACCCTAATGTAGGTTTTGTAATTTCAGCATTTAATTTACCAGGTACCGTAAGACCTGAAGATGCACAGCAAATTGTAGTATGCGGTACCGGTCGTTGGTGGTATAATTAAATCGATTGTAAGTAAGTCTTATTTTATTTCTTTTTACCTATTTAAATTTAAGTTTTTAAGTAAAAAATTTACAGAATAACGAAGTTACCCACAGAGAAATCACAATGGAAATAATTCTTAATCCAATTAATTGGAATTAATCACAATAATTAATAATTTAGTCTTAAAAAAATAATCAGATAATGACGCCGCTGGAATTGTGGTATTCTTCAACCACTAACGGCGTCAGTTTTCGTTTTTTTAGATTAAGTCACTCCCTTGAATAAATTGTTTGACTATAAAGCACAATTTAACAATTAAATTATTAAAAATTAAAAAAAAACTCCTTTATAAAAGGTTTAATAATATAAAACTCCTAATGAACTACATCACAGAACGGTTTCTTAACAAACCTTTTATAAAGGATTTTGTTTAGATAAAAAATTTTGATATACAGCTAAAATAAAACATGATATACAGCCAGCTACAAGAGTTCAGTTTCCTTTGTGCTTTCCTTCAGCTTTGTGCAGTAGAAAAATCGAATCTGCGTACAAAAAATATTAAAAAACGTCAAGTTGCTGAACGAACATAAAAGTGCGTACTTAAAATTTTTGGATCCTAGACTAAATCTTACATTGAAAGATGCGACAAAATTAATGAGTGTTGTTATAGTACAGTAGATATTGTTATACCTGTCAAATTGGTGTAATAAATGACGTATCCTTTCAAACGTATTTGGGAGTTTCCAAAAAAGAGATAATATGCAAATTTATGTATTATTAACTATAAATATTATTAAGTATTAAATAATTATCAACTTGTGTATTCTACGCGAATTTAATAAAATACTGTTAGGGTTTTTCCGGAGATCAAAATAACTTATTTTTAATTAACTGCAGATTATCTGGTCTATACAGTAAGGTCAGCAATTTATATTGAAAGTAAAATTAATATTTTAAAAACCTCGAATGAAATAAAAATTAACAAGAAGTCAATAACCAGATAACGAAGGATATTTTTGTATATTGTGAGTGTAAATGCAATTTTGGTTCTTAAAGTTAGATAATGCGGAAGCAGTTTTAGTTTTGATAAGTAATGCATGTTCTTGTCATTTTAAAACATTAATAAAAGTGTCTACACTCTTAGTGTACAAATGCAAAAATTTTTGTACAGGTACAAAAAAAACAACTCCTACTGCATTGTTGAAAGTCCTGTTGAATTTACCACCACTTCATATCTTTATACAGAGCGAAACCATATCAGTGATGCACAGATTAATCCATAGTCAGCGACATATAAGCTAGATGCATGGTACTGACAACAAAAAGCTAATCGAGGTGCTAAAAGCCGATATTGTGATGGGGAAACCTATCGATGCAACAGCTACGAGATATAGCTTTAACAATAAATTCACAATTTAGATACCAGGCAGGGAAAACTGGAATAAAGGTGTACCCATAAAAGCTGCTGCTACCTGGTACACGGAGGGCTCAAAAACATCGGAGGGTGTTGGAGCCGGCATAGTAGGGACAAATCAAGGGATACATTTCCCGGTAAGTCTGTCTAAGTATGTAATCGTTTTCCAGGCGGAAATAACTGCAATCCATCACTGCGTGGAAGAAATAGAAAGGCAGGAAAGAACGTAGGTCATCTTCACAGATAGTCAGGCAGTGCTTAAGGCACTCAATTCTGTAGAGGTCAATTCTAAGCTAGTATGGGATTACGTGTGTGCCCTAAATAAACTAGGAGACTGTAGCAAGGTTACGATAATCTGGGTACCGGGGCACGTGAGTCATAAGGCTAATGAAAAAGCAGATGAAATGGCGAAACAAGGCTCATCTATGCCATTTAATGGACCGGAACCCTTCTGCGGCGTTGCAAAGTCAGTAACAATAATGGCTACAAAGAAGTGGGTAGCTCACAAATCTCTGGAATGGTGGAGGAATTCACCAGGACAAAGACAGGCGAAACAGTTCATTGCCACATTCGGCAAAATTGGGCAGATGATAACTTGTGCAGATTCTCCCACCTCGAAGAAGAAACAGCAGAGCATATTTTATGTCAGTGTGACAGTCTGGCAAATGTGTGGTTTTTTGCATTAAGAGAAGAAAATCAAACGGCAAATAGCTACATGGAAAGTACAGTCTCAAAGCTACTAGACTTTATAAAAAGGGTCAGGCTAGATAATGTTATATAGGACTAGAGGACCATAATAAATCTGAAAAAGTCGCAGTAAAGTAGGCTCAGAGGCCATCTCTCTTAATCTAATCTAATTTAGTGTACAAATACAAGCAAGATATCAACAAAAGTAGTGAAAGAAAGATCGGAATAACACCAATTTTTAGAACAAACAGTAAATTAAGCTTGGTTCCGAGGCTTTATATCGGTTCTTTGAGCCTTGTTTTCTTTTACAATAGGTATGATGCAAACTTTGCCCATCAATCCTCCTCTTTTATCCGGGCTTGGGACAGCTTGTGGGCATGAACGCAACTTATGAGCTACTCAATCCATCCAGTCTTCGCGCTCATATCCTCCAGGCAGTACATTTTCTAGTATAAAGTGGACTGAAGAAGGAAGAACGAGCACGAGCAGGCGTAGGTATACTTGTCCATAAAAAAATTAAGACAACATAAATAACTCCCGTTATATCTCCGAAAGAATAATACCTATGAAAATCACAATGGACTACCAAAAATTAATGTCATATCTGTCTATAGCCCCGAGGACTAAAAACCTAAGTAGGAAGGAGGCATTTTACGAACAATTGCAAACCATTCTGGATGAAATATCCCATGAAGAACCCTTAATTCTTATGGGTGACTTTAATGCACAAATCGGAAATGAAATAGTTCCAGAAGTAAAACAAAAATTTAATGAAAACCATGTTAACGCAAATTAAGTACTCATCGCTCATTTCTGTGTTTTAAACGAAGGTTGGCTATCATCACAGCTATTCATAGCTTATTGGCGGCTACTCTAAAAAGATCTACTGATCTGCAATTATACCACTCTCTTAGGTTTGTCAGCCAGGAAATTCTTCGTCTTCCTATGGATCTTTTATATCTGATTTGACCTTGCATTATGAGCCTTAATATTTCATATTTTGCACCTCTGGTAATGTGGCCTAAATATTCCAGCTTACTTGTTTTGATATGCTTAATGACCTCGCAATCCTTTTGTAGCCTTGTTACACTTCTGCATTTGTAACTTGTTGCGTCCATGGTATTTTCAAAATCCTTCTATAGCACTACATCTCAAATGGTTCCAACTTCTTTATATTAACCGCTCTTAGTGTCCAGCTTTCGATTCCATACAACAAAGTCGAGAACACGTCATCTTAAGGCTCTTATTCTTAGATCCAGAGGAAGTTTTCGATTGACAAACATTGTTTTCATTTTTATAAATGCTTGTCTTGCAATTTCAATGCGTATTATAATTTCTCTACCTTGGTCATTGATTTCATTTACCCAGGTTCTCAGATATTTCCCAACCTCGCTGTTGCAAAAACAGCGGTGTCAACTGCGAATCTTATGTTGTTTAAGATTTTTCTGTTTATTGATATACCCTGTTGTTCCTGTGATATTGCTTGCTTAAAAATAGCTTCGCTTTACAGATTAAATAACAATGGGGACAGTACGCAAACCTGTCTAACATCTCTTTTGATTTCTATTGTTTCTGTATCGACACTTTCGATTCTAACCTTTGATTTTTGATTTCAGTATAGATTGAAAATAACCCGTATATCTCGACTATCCACATTCTATTCTTTTAACACTTCTTTGAACGAACTGAGAATCAATAATACATTTTTTGGCCATAAGCTTCAGTATAAATAAACATTTGAATACTCTAGGGAACACAAATCTATGATTACTTTTATAGTAACTAATAGAAAAATCCGCATAAAGCAGATTCTAGATATCCGAATTTTAAACTCAGCAGACGCAGGGAGTGAACACAAAATAGTACTAGCAAAAATAAGAATGAAAATAACACCAAACCGATTTCTACAGGAAATCATCGAGGATATATTTAATGTAGAATTACTGTGGAATGACTGTACAAGAGAAATGTTCCAAAGAAGGCTAGCACAGAAGATACAGCTGAAATAAATAGATGACATCGAAGATATAAACGCGAACTAGGAGAAAATTAAAAACAACATTAAAGAAGCAGCAACAGAAGCTGAAAACCCCAAAGTCATACGGAACTAAAGAAAAACAACAATACACCATGGTTCGGAAAAGAAAAAAGAGATTATGATGTAGCATAGATTAACAGAAATTCCGATGTCAAAATACAACTTTGAGACAGAATTAAATTAATATCATTAAGCATATAGCAGTAAACAATGGATACAACAAACAATTAATAAAATTTTAAATCAAAAACTACAGAAGAGAGCCCTGAAATTAGTATTTCCACCATCAGAGAAAAACACCCAGTACCTTCGGCTCGTTTACATATACAGGCAAAATATCAACAAAAATAGCCAAACACATAAAAAGAAAGGAAAACCCTAGCTTTCAGAACAAACAACAACTTAGGCAAATATATTAAAAACAACAAGAGCCAAAATAGAAAACACTTACACAGTGGTGTAAACCAACTTAAATGTGGCGACTGTCCGACTGACTTATATCGGTCAAACTGGTAAAATTTTAATAAACGAATAGCAGAACATAAAATAAACATTATAGAAAAACAGCTTCAATATAAGCAATTCACCTTCTAGATCATAATCATTCTTTTAATGACGAATTTAATTCAAAATAAAGGCCTTAATCTATTGAATTGTTGGCATCTATGGAAATGAAGAAATTGAAAAACACAGATAGAATTCTGAATGATCAACTTAAGACAAACAGTTCTCCTCTCCTCAACCTATTTCATTAAAAACTATAAAGTGTAAACGCATGCCAAAAATAGATCACTTGATTGAATTTAGAATAAATTTTGTGGAAGTTTTGAAAACAAAGTTTTCAGTGTTCCATTGTTACATAAAATAAATTTTCATCAAGTAACAGTCGAATCCATCAATTAACTAACAATAGGTCATTCTTGTTATATGAGAACTTTTTCAATAAGGAAAGGTAAGTAAACCTTAGAAAAACAAACTAAGTAAAGCGGTTTGACTTAGAGATAGACAATAACTAAATTGTATGCAAGTTTGTAATAGGAAACTGAGTTTACTAACCTATAAAACTGATCAAACTAAAAAAAACTGTTATTGTATTACTCATAGGTTACACTCATCTATATGAAAAGCAATTTCATTAAACAATTGCTGAAAAAGTTATGTAAAACTTACGCTTTAAAATACACGCAGTAAATTCCGCGCTTTTTCATTGAAATTAACAATTTTTTGTTTTATAAACTATCAATTAATTAAAAAAATAGCCTGAGAACATTCTAATATACTGGAAAATAGTATATTTATTGAAAACAATTTCAAAAAATCATTTAGAAGTCGTCTGAAGGACAATAAGTCGAGGCATCTACGAAATTAAAAATAATGGGGATTTGCCAAAAAAAAAAAATAATACTTACGCTTATACAAAGGTAGATTACGCTGGACACATAAATTATTTTAGCAGCCATCTCGCAGCCCATACTCAAACGGGTTTGGAAACAAGATTGGCGTTCTGTAGTATTCATTTGTTTTTATATGCAAGATTCAGTGTCTTTAATATAGACCAAGAAAAATGATCTTAATGTTTTAAATAAACGCGAGTCTTCAATGGTAAAATTACGTATTATTTATAAATTGGCATTTTACTTTACTATTTGTAAGAAATAAATCTAAATAAATCAACAAAATAAGATATTACTAATTTTACTAGACTTAACGTGATTTCAAAGTTTAAATCAAGTCAATCTTCATGTGTACTGAAGATGTTACTAATTTTTTCCATGCGATACATTAATTAATTATTTTAACATTAAAATAAAAAATAGCTGTTTAAATATTTTAACTCTGTGGTTTAGGCAATTCCGAAAATATTTAGTTTTAAGCATTTTATTGCTTTTCATCGTTTACTAATTGTTATAATAATAATGTGGGAGATTACTTTTGTTTGCGGATAACCACAAAAATTTGTATTTCGATTTTTTGCATTTTTATGCCATCGCAAACCTGAAAATCAGTCTGAGCTTATTAAGCAAATCGAAGGCTGAAAACAGGTGGATGTTATATATTCCGATTTTAGTAAAGCATTTGATAGTACTTGTCATCAAATTCTTCTTAAAAAATTGCTTTCTATGTGATTCATGTTGTTCAGTTTGTTGAATGGATCAAAAACTCGTTGTCAGGTCGTAGTCAAAAAGTCAATAATGGTCACCTCCGGTGTACCACAGGGAGCACACACATCACCTATTTTTGTGACATATTTGTTAATGATATTGTGAGCTATTTTTTAAGCAGTTTTCTCTACAAGCTGATCTTGATCGCTTATATGATTGTAGTAGTAGGAATGGTCTTTAATTAAATGTTAGTAAATGTTGTTATATTGGTTTTACCCGAAACGTGATCAAGATTGGTAAATATATTTCATTAATGAATAACCTCTTAAGTATATCTCTTCCATTAAAGACTTAGGAGTTACTTTAGATAAAAGGTTTTTGTTGGTAGAGCATATTAACTTATTATCTGCTTTGGTAGTCAATCTTCTCTCATTCTCTGAATATGACCGTATCACTTCACTAGTTTGTATTTTTTGTGGTCAAACATGGTGTTTTTAGAATGATTTGTGCATATTACGGTTGCATAAACTGATAGATTATTTTGAGATACTGTTATCGTTTTTAAAAATATAACACTTTAAGTATATTAACTGAATTAAATAAAAGATAACAGCAATATTTGCTTTTCAATTATTTATTTTTTAAATTCTTTTTTTTTAGGATTATCAAATTGATTTCATAATTTTTGGCTTACTATGGGTTAATATTAAAGTCGCAAGTGTCGCAATATTAAATAGCATGCAAATTCCTAAAAACTCTTAAATATTTAATCTGTGTATATAGGGTGGTCCCAAAGTAATTATACAAAAATATTGGGATTATATGTATTTATTTTTCGCTATAATTTTCGTTTGCAGACATTTATGTACACAAATTTGTAACTGGGGGCTTTTGAGTATGAAAAATTATAATTTGATGCAGGTAAGATTGATAAGAAGCTAAGACCAAATTTTCAACGTAACAGAGATGTTAAAATTACCGACGTTGCAAAGATTTGGGGACTTATTAGTATACTCTTTTTAGCAGGTGTTATAAAATTTGGATGGCTAAATGTTTTGCGAATGTGGGAGAATAAGAAAGGTACTGGTGTGGAAGCTGTGTTACTTGACAATGTCTTTAAACCGTTTCCGATTTCTGCTGAGATGTTTAATGTTTAACGACTTTAGTTCTGGACAAAAATGGAGAGAGCTGGATAAACTTGCTCTTATTTGAGACATTTTTGGACTTTTAATTGAAAATTAAAAAAAAAATGTTATACCTTCAGATTATATAACATTTGACGAGCAATTACTTGCTTTCACGGGAAAATGTCAATTCGGTCAATACATCCCAGTAAACCGTTCAAATATGGTATAAAAATATTTGCGTTAGTAGATAGCAAATATGTATATACCTAAAATATGGAGATTTGCTGTGGAACACAGCCAACCGGTCCTTTTGAAACTGATTGGAGTAGCGCAGAGCTTGTTAAAAGAATGGTTAAACCCATAGAGGGAACGGGCAAAAATGGAAGGCAAAATGTGAACAAAAACGTGCATTTCAACATTATACGAGGGCAGTGAAAACATACTTAAATACCAACTTTCCTGAACGTTAGATAAGTTGGTCATTGGCCACCACGTACCCCAGAATTTAAACTTCTCGATTATGATATATAAATCTCATTGAAAAAACTTGTCTACAAGAATTCCATACACACTCGCAACCAACTTTGGAAAGAAATAAATGCTGCAGCAGTTTTTTTGAAGCCAATGATGCAATTTAATATGAGACCATCATACGTATATCTTTTTTTTTTGTTAAAATAGGCACAAATTTATGCCACCCATCATCATGCATCAATTCATCATGCTCAAACCACCCAGTTGTAAATTTTTATATATAAAAATGTTAACAAATATGACAGTTACAGCGAAAATTTAGATTTAAAATTTTAACTTTAATACACCGTATTTCTCTTAATATTACCGTTTTATCAAAACAAGTTGACTGAAATAGCAATATTTTAAAGTGAAGAGTTTATTGTTTCTTTTTGTACAATTACTTAATTACCACTCTGTACACAAATTTTCGGCAAAGTGTTTTTGTAACAATTTATTTTGCAATTTCCTTATCTACTTATATAATACCATTTTCTAAGCTATCACATTTAATCTTTTCCTGCATAAAAGATAATCTGTATACATTTTTGAATATAAATAAAGGCTGTTTTATTAAAAATCAAATAAACACAAATTGAAAAATGTCGGTATCTAGGAAATATCTGGGTTTAGTTGTAATAACAAGTTTTATTCTGTGCGTAAGTAATAGCAAATTTATATTTCTAGTTATTTTTTCTTTGTTGTATAATAATACTGTTAAGTTCACAAAAATCTATGCCTGGAAAAAGTCACTAGCTACAAACATCGTTTTAACACAGACTTTCAAAGCGAAATATTTCATTATTTGCAAAATTTGATCTTTTTCTTTTTCGTCATTTTTTTCTTATTTAAAATATACGTATACACATACATATATACATAATCGTTCCTCTTCTAACGTTAGATGTTCAGGGAGGTGCCCTCAGTTTTGATTCTTTGCCATTTCTGTGATTCTTGCCTAGATTTGCACTTATTTTCAAAACGTTAGATGTTGAGGGAGCTGCCCTCAACTTTTGATTCTTCGCCATTTGTTAGCTGTTGTGCTCTTTAATTGGTCTGCCTTTTCTATTTTTTCCTACTTTTTAACCTTCCCACACTCTTCTTACTTGCCTGTCACTGTCTATTCATTTTATAATGACCAAACCATGCTAATTTATTTGCATTTATTCCATCAAGTGACAATTTAATTTTAAGTCTGTTCTTATTCTTTTACTTTGAGTTTCTCTGCCCTTCTTGCCTCTACCGTTCTTTTAAGGTATTTCATGTCTATTGCTTGTATCCTACTCTGGTGTCTTCTGTTTGATCTACAGTTTTCTGCTCCGTGTATCAACGTTCATCTATATATTGTTCCATAATAAACTGTCATCTTCATTTTCTTTGATAGTTTTTGTTCTTCGAAAATCAACATTGTTCAATATTTATTCAGACCAGTTATTTTATCAGGTACTTGGGGGACAGCCATATGAAATAAAAATTAACGGGGAACTACTTACTGTAATTAGATAGGCGGACGATACAGTAATTTTGTCGGAAGATACGAAAGATTCCTAAATTTTGCTTAATCTTATTTACAATAAGAGGAGTAAAAGAGGAGAGAAAATGGGTATTAAAATAGACTTAAAAAGAAACTTAATTTATTTAAATGGAATCAAGGTTGAAAAAGTTTACAAAATTACATATTTGGGCACTGTCATAACGGTCCAACTAGATCCAGACATGAAGACATTTATTTGCAATAATCATGTCGTTTTAGAACTAAGACAGAGAATGGTTAAGTACTATATTTGGTCTGTACTTTTGTATGAAGCAGAAGTGTACACACCCAAAGTAACAATTATGAACAGAATTAAATCATTAGAACTGTGATTTCATAGACGGATGCTACAGATACCTTGGACAGCAAATAAACGAATAAGGAAGTACTAAGAAGAGGCAACTAAGATGAGAATTTCTAAAAACAATGGAAAATGTCTTATATGAGACATATGGTGAGGGAAAATCGATATATAACTAATCCTTAAAAGCAAAATAGAAGGTCATAGTCTGTTTCATCCAGAAAATTTTCAGTTATGAAGCTCTTTTATAATGTTCGAGACTTCTGCAGTGTTAAAGGGTTCGTAAGGAATATTAATGGAGTTGTTCGTCGTGTCTTTAATTTATTCAGCTTGGGAATCATGAGTGACTAGATTTAAAAGGTGATTTCCCCAAATCTTTCGGCTTAATAAGGATTTATCTTTCTTTTCCACAGTGGAATTAAGTCCCATAAAATGCCTTTATTACATGTTTAAAACGTATAGTTGGTATCAAAGTGGTAGTTTGTTTTAATGTATCTTATGTGTTGTTCTATATTTTTATTATTGCACATAAATAATCATTTTCAGATATGTGGAGAATATCTAGGGAATGATCAGAAAAAGCATAACGTGCATGAAAAAATAGAGGGTAAGTAATTTCTCTAATAGGTCTGCTTTTGATATTGTGATGTATACTAGGTATAACATATTCAAATAAAAAAGCTATCAATATCACAATGGATTTCAATTTTTTAAAACTTTTTAAACTATGGATATCATTAAATCTTTAGTGTTGATACACATTGCAGATGCTTCGTCATGGTTAAAAAAATCTATTCATGCTTATCACTTGGAACGGTCTTGATGGTCTGGTTAATCTAATTACGTTTTCCACTTCTTTAGCCGTTTGCATTTTTGCTACCTTAGATCTATTTTCTATAACTGAAAAGTCTCGATCTGTCGCAGAAAAGCTGTGACAAGGTACCAAGAACTTATGCTCTACAGACTTAAATTGGCCCAAAGATACTATATAAATTAACAATAAAACCAACATATGGTTTTTGACTTGATCACCGCAGTTGTCACTCCATACAACAAGTTTTTTTCTTTAAATACATACCTGTATTTAAGGCTTGCAATATACAGGAAGCCATCTGACTCACTCGTCATTGGTCTGAATCTCTATCTATCTAATTAGCCTTCTTCGGTCCATCTTTGGACATAGGCCTCCCCAATCCTTTTCCATTCTTCTCTGTCTGTCGCAACAGTCATCCATCTAGAGCCCACGTGCTTCTTGATATCATCTGCCCATCTCATTTGGGGCCTTCCTCTGCTTCGTTTATATTCCCACGGTCTCCAACTTATAAGAATTTTGTTCCATCGATGGACCGATGGAACAAAATTGGCCTGAATGGCCCCCATAATATCGTCATTGGTATCGGTAATATGAATATTAAAATTTTTGGCAAGATAATTGCCTTAAATAATACATATCGCTAAATGTGTAAATTTTGGAAGAGGAAATACCTTTTGAAGGGTAACCGCAACAAAACAAACACCACTTTTGGTCATTGCACTGTCAGATGTATCTTTTTTTAACATACTGTAGGTTTTTACACTTTTTCTATGATGTAGTTCTAGTTCTGTCTTGGCTTTATTTGCTGCAGCGACATCTCTGTTTTTGGTCTGAATATGAAGACAGTCGCACGGTTTACAAGTGTCTACCATTGGTCTTTTGAACGATAAATTTGTGAAGTCTTTTAAAAATACTTTTCGATAGGATTTGGCACTTACAACACTATCTGGATATTTCTGTTTAAAAGCAGCGAAAAGCCTAGTCCTGTTCAATTCGGACCTTAAGTACTTTTTTTGGGACTTTGAACGGCCGTAGTGACCCTCTTCTCCAGGAAAAGGATTAATGTGTTTTTTCTGTTTCCTGTTATGCTCCGTAAATGTATATATAGTAGAGTCATCAAGATTATCTTGAAAGACCACGTCACCACTTTTCTTCTTCTTCACAATAAGTGAGATTTTTTGGGGTGAAACTTTTTAAAAGTTTTTTTACATATTTTAAGGAACACATCTTCCCCATCAGGTACCTTAGAGCGCTTTGCCTTCGGCGGCTTTCTGGCTCATCGTAAGAACCGTGTCGCCTTCTAGTAATAGGAAGAATGTCTATCAAATCCATCAAATAAGAACCTTGGATATTTAATCCAAGTTTTTGGTCTTAAACAGTTTCCTCTTCATTTATACATACATTTGCAAATTACCTGAAAAAAAAACTGAGTTAGGGAATATGTTTTGTATGGTAATGTTTAAAATGTGGATCGAATAGTGATAGATACCGGTAACCAAAACCTATTCATTAGATTCTAATAGAAAATTGTTAAGATAAATAAACCTTTCATCAAAATCACACATGTACATAAACAGCAGAATGACCTAAATTTCAAAATTTTGTGAATGAATAGTATACTAACTTCTTTGCACGGCATTGGCTTCACTGGGATTTCTTATTTTTCTATATAAAGTTTTTATTTTTACTTCATTGTTAAAAATTCTACTTTAATTTAAAGCAAAGGGGTAAAGTTTTGATTGCTGTTAAACGAAAATTTGTGGTTATTATTGTTTAGTTAAATATCAGTTTTCAAAGCTTAATTTGAAAGTTTGGCGGCTTTCTACACTATCTGGTAAACAAATTACATAGAGGGTTTCTATTATCGATTTAGTCTTTTGAAACATCCATTTCTTTTTGTTTGGAACTACAAATTGGTAACAATTCTTGCAGTTTGGTTGCTAATAATTCGGTTTTCATGAACTATTATATAAGCTATACGATCCCAAAGAAGCAGAATCTGGTTTAACTTGAAGATCCTTTTTGTATGGGGAATCATCCCATTCTGGGTTTGGTTCTACAGTTTCTGGTGTGACTTCGCTGTGTCCACTAATTTTCTCCATTCTTCTTTATCTTTGATTGTCCTGTCTATATTTTTAATTTTCATACTCCTTAAGTCTTCTTCCACTTATTGCCTCCATTTCAGTTAAAGTCTACCTCTGCTTCTTTTACTTGGTAATATCCATTCCGTTATAACTTTTTACGGATTTCTCTTTTCTCTTCTCATTATGTGTCCGTACTATCTAATTCTTTGTGTTTTTATTGCTCTAACTATGTTCTCTTGATCCATCCATTCCTTTATTTCGTGATTCATCCATTGTCTTGCATCCTCTTCGTTTTCCCTTTTTGAACCCAGCAATTTTCTAATAATTTCTTTTCAAAAAACTTTCAATTGCGCTTCTTCTCTTGCTGTTAATGTAAATGTTTTACATTAACTGAACTTGATTCCATAAACTAAGTACATGATAACTAACTATGAGAACTAACATGTTGATATATTAATTAGGTAAATGTGATTGTGAAATATAAATTATATAAAACTTATTTTAGAACCCTCAACATTTAACAAATCATCATATATTGGTCTGGCAGATGGTAATCCATTTAAGAATTGCAAGGAAATATTCGACTCAGGTATGTATTGCATTTCAAAGATATATAACTAAATATAATACAGAGAAATGGAAAAGAGTATAAAAAATAAAGAAATCACCTCAGAAAGATCAGAATAACAAAACAATAACAAAGGGGAAAAGATTTAAAAACTAAGGCCATAAAGAATGTGCTAAAAACTAAAAAACTAATTAAATCAGACTCATATCAAAAACCAAAAATGTCTCGAGACATTCGTTGGACTTTCCGAGATTAAATTTGTATCAGCCCAAAGTCTAATGAGGCTGGAATAGGTCAAAATAACACTTTATTGATACCGTGGCAGCCGCAGCTCAGTGGCTATGTTACTGGCTTCACAAACTGGAGGGTCCGGGTTCAAATCCCGGCACCGACACAATTTTTAATTTCTAATTTAACTGAGCTGCCACCGTGCTTCGGAGGGCACGTAAAGCAGTTGGTTCCGGCTACGAAAGTAGTCGTTAAGTCATGTTATGGGCGCTTGCGTGACCTGAAAACCCTAGCACTAGACCTTAGCCAGAAGGTTACACGAACTTTACTTTATTGATAACGATTCGAGCACGAAAAGTTTAACGAATTTGTCCTACTAGATCATATATTTGGCCATATATTAATTTTTAAATATATATTAATTTTTAAGTATGTGAAATATTTTGTTATCATAGGTGTAAATATTTCCGGAATTTACGAGATACAACCAATTGGCTCCAATAAATTGATAAACGTAACATGTGACATGGAGACAAGAGGAGGTGGATGGACTGTAATACAGAGAAGAATTGATGGATCTGTTGATTTCTATAGAGACTGGAGAGAGTATAAATTTGGGTTCGGAGATCTAAATGGAGAACATTGGTTAGGATTGGAGAGTATTTACCACTTGACAGGTAACAATTATTTAGTTCAATTTAGCAAAGTGATGTAGTCTGCTTGAATATAATAAAGTGACAATCATCATCATCATCATCTGTGACCACTGAGAGCCCATGAAGAAAGTAAGCATGGATAAAATGCTTACTTTCTAGTTTGTCTGCTTTTGGAATATTATTTTAGTGTCATGTATATTTTTCTTATTTGTGGACTTATAGTTGACTATATTTTTCTTTCCTTTACTCTCTCATTACTTCATCGTCCAGAGACGAAAATGCCATTGAACCTCTACATATATTGATGAAACAAATAAGCTGAATTTTGCCGAGAATATTAATTTTGGGGCCCCAAAAAAGATGCAAAAAACTTTACCGCTTTCACCCCCTGGCTTCTTCCTAAAACCTCCCTTGAGAGGGTAAAAACGCAAAAAAATCGATTAACCAAACATCTGCACATTGTAGAAAAAATTATTTCAAATAAAAAATGTAGCTGAGATAATTTTACATAAAACAGTTTATACGCAATTTTTGTATAGAATGGTCTGTTCTCTTAGAACAGTCTTAAACGGTCTTCTTAAAAGCATTTCTCGTGATGAGTGATCGTTTGTAATTATTTTTTTGCGATTGTTTGTAAAACATTACATTCTGCGTTTATATTTATATTTTAAATGCCTCATATTTGTTACCACAACTCAAAATTAAAATTTCATGTCATAGGTTTTTAAGGTAGCTCTCTAAAAATGAAAATATTACTACAACTGGTCAATGAAAGTGATCATTTTTATTGATCTCACGAGAATCGTAAAAAATGGCAAAAATCGCTCCATGTTAATTTATTTAACACCTTTATAAAAACTGAATTAATTAATAGCAAAATACAAAATCTTTATATAAAAACTGCACTCTTTGTCTTTAAAATGCATCTTGATTTTTGTCGATATTTTCAAAGGTTAAAGCCAATCTTTATTGGCTAACTAACTTACAAATGGTAACGTTTTGTTTACTGATAAGTACGTATTTTATAACCTTTAAATTTCAGGCTTTTTTTTTCAAACCACCAAACTGTTTAGTAGTTGATTGACAATCTATGTATAAAATATTATAGTTGTATTGAGCCTAGTTTTTTTAGAAATTAATTTGCAAACATTTGTCGGTACCAAAAAGTAGTAGAGAGTACAAAAAGAAAGTAGGTACAAACTTTATGAATTACAATTCAGAAAATATGGAGAGAGCTATTTTTGATGTTAGGAATAAAATGAAAACCTTAAGACAAGCTGCTGAATATTATCGTGTACCAAAATCCACCTTGCATGATATAATCAAAGGCAAATCGACATTTCAACAAGGTGGACAAAATGTTCTTCGTGCAAAGGAAGAAAGAATGATAGCAGAAGATATCATCAAATTTGTGAATGGTGGTTTTCTTATGACCAGTTCCGACATAAGAGTCTTAATAAAAAGCTATCTGGACAGCAAAGGATAAACTATTAAGATTTTTAAGAACAATCTACTTATGATCGACTGGTTTTATATATTCCTTAAGAGAAATAATGTTCTAACAGAACGTATGGCCCAAAATATAAAGTGGTGCAGGGCAAATGCTACACAAAAAACAGTTTTTTAAACTATTTTAACAATTTAAAAAACATACTTGAAGGCGTTCTTCTATCTCACATCTTCAATTACGACAAAACTAATTTAACTGACGACCCGGGTAGAATAAAAGTATTGTGGATCAGTGGATCAGGTGTACTTTTAGCTCCATGTGTGGTGTACAAATCGGTACACTTATATCCATTATGGGTAGAGGAAGAGCCTGCAGGGTGTGTCTACAATAGAACAAACTCAGGCTGGTTAGATTTTCCAACATTCGAAGTAATCATAGGCGATAACTTAGCTATCCATATGTCTATACATGTTGTCGAAAACTGCGAAAAGTATGCCATTCAGTTTGTGATGCTGCCTACAAATACAACGTATTTATTACAGCCGCTGTAATAAAACCAAGATTACTGGATCAACACTCTTCAAAACTTTCTTCATGAAAGTAGACAGGATGCAACCCAAGAACGTTTAAAAACACAGGGCAAAAAGTTACAGGTGCCTGCAGGTAAAGGAGTAAGCGTAAGAGATTTAGAACAACCATTAATGGGAGAAGAAAGGGTAATTGAAGAATATAGAACAAGTAGTGAGGATAACCAAAGTGGAACAGAGCTGCAGACTGAAGAAGAAGATGAGGTTGAAAGTAAACAAATTGAAATGGGTGAGACCGATTGTTTTATAGACATTAATACTTCTGTATATGTTAAATTAGTTTCACCAAAGAATGTAAATAAATATTGTGTTGGGAATGTTACAGAGGTAATTGATAAGAAGAAGAATCTTTACCTTGTCAATTTTCTTAGAAAACAAATATTAGAAAAAATGGGGGTCTATTTTACCCATCCTCCAATAAATGATGAAAGTATAATTAAGTGGAGTCAAATTTTTAAAATTCTTGAAAAAGTGACTGATATGCGACGTCAGAGATACCAATTTCCCATTCTATTATGAATGGAAATTATTCGAATCGAATAATTTTTTTCTAATTTTTAGTTTAAATGTGGAATTTTGAGTTTTTCTTGTTAGTCTTATTTTATACAATGTGTTTAGAACTAAGGAGCCTTGTTTTCGTTTATATTCATGCTGCTTTGTCGAAATAATTTTTTTTCAAATTTAAAATGTTTTTTTATCTTATTTTTTCTCTGTCCGAAAATTGTTTGTCTTTTTTGTCCGAATTAACTCATATTCACGGCCAAATACGATTTATAATACAAAATAATACTACGCCCAGTTTCACTATACACGTAGGGGCGAATCCTGACACTAAACATCTCAAAAAATTAAAATGTGGCAGTAAAATTTTAAAACTTTTATTAGAATCCCTTTACAGTGAGCTCTACAAGAATGGTGGCGATGCCCTACTACAGACACTGCATAAGCTTTTACTTCTTGTTTGGCATAATGAGACCATGCCTTGTGAATGGTCTCAAGGCGTGATATGCCCGTTACATGAAAAAGGTGACCAGCTCGAGTGTGACAACTATAGAGGTATAACTCTGTTAACAACTGCTTACAAAATACTAGCAAACATTCTCTACGAAAGGTTGCAAGTTTACACAGTGGGCATAGTTGGTAAATATCAAGTTGGATTCACTCCAGAAAAATCAACAATTGACCAGATTCATTCAATAAGACAGATTCTCGAGAAAACATTAGAATTCAATATTGAAACCCATCACCTATTCGTCGACTTTAAGGCCGCATACGACAGTGTCAAGAGAACAGTGCTATACCAATCAATGCATGAGTTGGGTATACCAGGGAAACTTATCCGACTAACTAGAATGACAATGTCTAACTTAGAAGCCACTGATAGAATACAGGGAGAGAGTTCTAGATCCTTTTAGATAAAGGATGGACTCAGACAAGGAGACGCTCTGGCTTGCCTCCTATTTAATATTGTCTTAGAAAAGGCAGTCCGAGATATACGAATTAGGGATGGCGGTACTATTTACAACAGATCGATACAAGTCTTAGCATATGCTGATGACATTGACATAGTAGGGCGTAGTAAGCGAGATGTTGAGCAATATCTCCTAGAATTGGAAACAGCGGCGAAACAGGTCGGTCTAGTCATCAACGAAGATAAAACCAAGTTCATGTTGGTTACAAAGGATCCGATAGCACATGAGGAACGAGAAACAGTCTTTGAAAGTTATACCTTTGGACGTGTTGACAACTTCACATACCAAGGGCAGTGGCGCGGAAGATATAATTTTGAATTGTATCAGATCTTTGATGAGCCAAATGTTATAACGTTCATTAAAACATAGCGATTTAGATGGGCTGGACACATAATACGAATGCCAGAAAATACCATTGCTAAAAAGCTAACCACAGGAACACCTGTAGGAAAAAGAAGCAAAGGCCGACCGCGAATTAGGTGGTTAGATGGAGTAGAAACCGACTTACGAATATTAAAAATCAGAAGAAGGCAACATGTTGCCAAAAACCGAACAGAATGGCGACGAATCTTAGAGCAGGCCAAGATCCACAGAAGATTGTCGAACCAAAGATGATGATGATTAGAATCCCTTATGCTGGAGATATTAAAGTATTTAAAAATTTTTTTTAATTTTTTAGAACTACTTTAATTGATTTATTGTCAAAAAACCGGGAAAATCGTCCGGATTTACCTGAGTGACATTTACAACGCAGCGTCACATTCTAGTTCAAGTCGCTAGGTGAGAAGGTCACTGCTCTGCATATTGTCGCATCTAGCTCAAAAACACACACATTTACTCTGGAAAGAACATCAAAATTTAGACAAGCCTTTCACCCTGATTCAATGGCGACTTCGTCTCGACAGCCTCCAAATATTCCACAGAACAAGAAGAAGAACGCTAAGATCCCAGTAAATTCTAAGACAGTTTGCTTTTGTATCATAACACTTTCAAATCTAAGCCTGAAAATGATTAATCGACCCTAAACGGATACAAAAAATGTTCAAATTCCCACGTAATAAAAATCCTCAAGAAAAACATTGACTGACTGACTAGGCGGCGTCAGTTTCAGCTTACAAGCGAAGCAGTAACATTTCCAGAATATGCCAACGCCTACAGACACTTGAGCTATCTAATTTTCTACAACACTAGTGTTGGCGAAACGTCGAGAACTAATCTCAGAAGACAACGGCCTAACAGCCAGAACAAACAGCCTTACAAGTTAGACAATGGCTGTGAAAGCCTAACCCATTTTATCAGTATTTGTTTTATATGCATGTACTTAATTATAGATTTAAATTTAGTAAAAGTCGATTATCAAGTTTTTTTATTTTAGCGTTTGAAGCTACCCAGCTGCTTGTGGAGTTGGTAGACAAGGATGGAATTAATGCTTACGCTTTGTACGAAACTTTTGCCATTGGTTCCGAAGTGGAGGGATACTATTTAAGTACTTTAAAGGGATATTCTGGGGATGCTGGTGATTCATTGACTAACCATTTAGGACAAGGTTTTACTACAAAAGATCTGAATTTAGATCAAAGTACTGTTAACTGCGCCGAGGAATACTGTACGTATTAACTAATAATTTATGATTAAAAGCTTTAATATTATTTAAATATATATATATATATATATATATATATATATATATATATATATATATATATATATTATATATATATGTATATATATATATATATATATTTATATATATATATATATATATATATATATTATATATATATATATATATATATATATATTGTAAAAACTACGACCGTCAATTTATATTAATAAAGTATTCAACTAGTGAATTCAGAGGTTTATTCGGTCATTCAGGTTGGCAAAATAAAAAAAAGAAGTCAACTACTTTATAAGTTTATAGAAGACGTTTCGCTTTATACTTCTTAAGCTTCATCAGTTTTTTAAAATACAAAGATGACATAAGTTTATAAGAAATACAGATCTAATAATTTATTACTTACAACTCAATATGTAGTATTAAAGATGTTATTGTACATTTACGTAAGTTTACTCATAAATTTAGAACTAACTTAAAAAAAAATTAAACAGAAACAAAGAACAAAAAAACTTTGCAAAAAATAATATTCGCAGAAAAGAAGATTTACAAAAATTTTAACCGTACATTTGGCTTCATTTAGAGATGGTTCTCCAATGAAGACAAACAAAACACTGATTTATTGCAATCTATGCAGAACGACGTGACGCGATACCAAAAGTTTTTAAGGGCCATATGTTCAACAAATTCCAATGTTTGAGACAATTATGAACTTCTACGGGGGTCATTGAAAGATTAGTTGGACGGGTGGATTTGTATGACGGAAAAATTTGATATAATTTTTTTTTTTGTAATTTTGTTTTAATGAAACTTAGAGATCTGGGGATATTATGTTGTATGAGGCTATTTTTAATGATGAATATTGGTATTATTTATTTCGTAAGATGAGAGAGTGGTAAAACCTGTCTCAAATTGTCGATGTCGGTTTTTTTGTTTATTGCAGATGGGTTTTTTAGGATCTCACACATTTCAATAAAGGAGCGTTTTTGATGTTTATTTTGTTTCGCTTGTATTTTAGTATCTGAGAAGTCAATGTGATGTTTGGTGGAGATGGCGTATAACTTCACATAAAAGCGACATTAGACTTTCCAAACTCTCTTGTGCCCTTGCACAACATATGGCCCTTAAAAACTTTCTTATATTATTTATATTATTGCTTATATTATTGTTTCATTCTACTCTTATATTTCTTACCCAGTGCTTGATGTTATTCACCTTGCATGTGTTTTTATCTCTTCTGTTTTTAACATACTTTTTATACTCTCTGTGTCACGTTTTGTTTCTGTCGCGTATGCCATTATTGGTCTAATGGCTTTTTTTAAATTATGCTTTTTATTTCTCTACCGATCATTTTTTTCTCCATATTGTTTTATTCAGGCAACCTGCGGCTCGGTTTGCTCTATTTACTTAATCTTCCATTTTTGTTTTAATATTTCCGTAGCTAGATGCCTAGATATTTTAAGTCGTTTTTCTCCCATTTGGTATTCTTTAATTTCTTTCATGCTTTCCTTACCTCTTTCTCCTCAATATATATTTCTTTGTTTGGCGTCACCTCTGATGTTGGTGGTTCATTATCGTCACCTTTAGCAAATAAGGATTGAAAGTAGTCAGCCTATGTTTTCTTTCTGCATAAGTACTTATTTCGTGCATTGCCTATTTAGTCCTTGTACTTTGATTATTGTTTGAGTTATAAGTTAAGTATTCTTTCTACTACCCTAGTTTTTTATTAATTTTTGCTACCATTGCTATACTATACTAAATTAATAAATACATTTTAAATTTCAGTGGGGGCTTGGTGGTACAAATCCGGTTACACGAGCAATTTAAATGGTAAATTCAGAAGCATGTTTCCACCAGCGGCGTATAAATATAAAGGAATTAATTGGTTTAGTTTTAGAAATGATAACTATTTCTTATCTCAGACAAGAATGTTAGTAAGACCAGAATATTAGAAAACAGAAAAAGTTTAATAAAAAGATTTTTTGAATTGAATAGTGTTTAAGTTTCTTCCTATTTTATCTTAAACATAAGTACTCGTATTTACTCTTTACAATCACTTTCATTAATTTACTATTAAAATTAATATTTAAACATTAGACTTAGTTTTTAGCAATAAGATGACAATACTGTAGTGGCAAAGCTTAATCATCTGTTGGATATGATTTAAAATCAATGGTTTGAAGACCAAAAACCTATATGATGAGATGCTAAAAACTATTGAAACTTTCGAAATATATAAATATCTAAATATCAAGAAAAATATTAAATTAATAAACGACAGATGGGATCATGAAGCTAACGGACAAAAGAAGAAAAGTCAAATATGGCCTGGACACATCTCTCTCTTCAATTCTGACCCCCAGGAGGAAGTGTAGTGATTATCATGATCGTCGTGAAGGGTTGTGACGTCTGCAAAATGTAGGTTGTTTGCAATCCTTTAAAATAAATGAATACTATCTTATCAAAAAATCTAGCCTCTCTTTTGAAGGAATGAAGTTCATCCTCTAATAAGCTCATGCAGTCATAACGTTTTATATTCAGTTTAACTTACAGCATTGTACTCCTAATCCTAAGGTTAATAAAAAGGTATATGAAATAATTGATTTTGAAAATGCAAATCGCCAACTGGCAGACATATTGATTGGAATGATGTTTTTGGCGACATAAAGAATCCAGTTGTATTCTGGGATAAGTTCTTACACGTTGCTAATTTCTGCAAAAACCCAAAATAATTTCAGAAAAATCATATACAAAAGAAATAGGAAACCATGAATTAATGGGGAATTAATATATCTGATCAAGTATAAAAGAACGTTGTGAAACAAATATAGACGTACAAATCGCATAGAGGATTTACTAATTCATCGAGACTTTGCCAAAGATTTAAAGCAATCTCTGCATAAAGCTCGTGTTACCTACGAAGAGAGTATAGCCATTAGTAATAACTGTAAAAAATTGTACAAGTATATTAGATCTTCGTTAAAAACAAAAGTTTCTATACCTTTACGGGAAAATGATAATGGGGATATATCACAAAAAAACTATGAGAATGCTGAAGTCCTCGCCAGTACTTTCTCTAAGGTTTTATCTGTCGAATCCACTAATCATCACTTGCCTAATATTACTTCGTTACGAGTTTCTCCTTCCCCTAAAAATATAATCATTACTCTTAAAAAATAAATTAAACATCATCTTCAAAGCCTAAAAAATAATTTGTCTCCAGGTCTCGACTTAGTATCTTCTTTATTTTTAAAAAAATGTTCTGATGCTTTGGCTTACCCACTATACGTGATTATGTTCTTATCATTCACCATACATATTTTGCCTGCTATATGGAAAACCGCATCTGTAGCATCGACTTTTTAAAAATGGAACAAATTGGATCCTAATAACTATCGTCCTATCAGCTTACAACCTATAATATCTAAAGTAATGGAATCTATTATTGCCGAAACAATTTCTGATTTTCTGCAAAATGAACTGCTTATACCAGAACAGCAACATGGTTTTGTCAAAGGACGTTCTACAATGACAAATCTTCTCTAGTGTGTCAATGAATGGTCAAAAGCATTGACAGAAATGCCCCGGTGGACATTATTTACCTCGATTTTGTTAAAGCTTTGATCGAGTTCCAAAGCGAGGACTATTACATAAATTGGAACACCTTGGTATTTGTGGTCGAATACTGAAATGAATTGACGCGTATTTAACAGATAGAAATTTTGTATTAGAGTTGGGGACTCTTTTTCAGTCGAAAGAACGGTTTTAAGTAGGGTACCGCAAGGATTAGTTTTCGAGTCCAATAGCATAATCAAGAGATCTACAATTTCACATTAAATGCAACAAGGCTTTCTATGCAGATGACACGAAGCAATTTACCGATTCCTCCGAAAATTTCCAGTTACTACAAGATGACCTTGATTGCATATCGGAATAGTACTCTACTTGGATGCTGCCTCTTAATGTGGACAAATGAGTAGTTCTTCACATGGGTAAAAATAATCTGTGTCTTCCTTACTCTATTAATGGACGCGTGTTAAAAAAAGTGAAATCACATAATGATCTAGGTGTTATAATTGTTGTTCGGAACATATTTGGAATATTTCAAAAAAAGATAACAGTAAATTATCTCTACTAAATAAAACGCTTGCGTAAGTGTCATTTATGAGTTCAGTTCATCTGTATAAACTGTAAAATCGTCCAGTTCTGGAATATTGTGGAACTGTTCGCTGTCCGGTATTAGTGCGCAATCGTAATATCCTCGAAAACTTACAGCGGTAGTGCACTAGGATGTCTTTGGGTCGCTCAAGACCTACGTATACAGAGAGACTGAATATGACCAATCTAACTACATTTGAACAACGTCGACTTCGAAGCGATATAATTATTACGTTTCGGATAGTAAAATACAACTTTGGAAATGTGGGGGATATGTGTATACTAGACAATGACAATCGTCTTCGTGGCCACAAACTTAAGTTTAAAAAGGAAACTTTTTTAACAACTAGACAATTTTTTCTCTGTAAGCGAGTCTTCTCGATATGGAATAGCCTTCCGGCTGAGATCATAGATGATCTATCTGTCAATATTTTTAAAAATAAACTGGATGACCATTTTCTCCATAGTTGAACATTTAATTTGTACCAAACACTTACTATTGCCTATGTTTTTGTATATTTATTTAGTTAGTTAGTGCTTAATATGTGATTATTGTAATCTAACCATTTAATTGCACACTATATAACATTCTAGTCACATGAGCATATGGGTTTTGCGACCCCTGCTCAAATTTATTGTAAAATAAAGAATAAATATACGAAAATAAATAAAAAATCTTTCTTCATCTTTAAGTAATTCAGCAAAACTGATCATAGATTCTTCTTAATCCTCTCAGCTACTAGTTGAGTGCACTCAGCATTTCCCTTTTTTCTTTTACGCCTTCAGACTCAACTAAAGTAATGCTTTGTCGTCAGAAAAAGAACTATCTGAGTTGAGATCTATGTTTCAGGTTAAATACTTAGAAATGTCGGAGTGTTAGACAAGGATGTATACTATCTCCATAATTATTCAACATATATGGAGAGTATATTATGCGAAGAGCACTTGAAGGATGGGAAAAGGGCATCTCAATAAATGGTCATAAACTAAACAACCTACGTTTCGCAGATGACACAGCCCTTCTTGCAAATAGTCAAGCAGAGCTGATGGAACTTATACGACTGATCGAAAACGAAAGTCAAATATTTGGTCTGCAATTAAACATATCAAAGACAAAGATCATGATAGTGGATAGACTACACAACAATCATCCACACATAACCACAATTGACCGGTTCGAGGTTGTGAGCTCATACTTATATCTGGAATCATTAATCACAAACACAGGGTCATTACAAGAAGAGATTAAACGTAGATGTGATCTACCAATAGTTGCCACAGCAAAAATGACCAAAATATGGAAGGAATATCAAATTTCAAGAGCGATAAAGATGAGGTTGATTAACTGCTTAATATTCCCAATACTGACTCACGGATGTAAATCTTGGACTCTGAGACAATCGGAGAGAAAAAAGATAGATGCCACTGAAATGTTCTGTTGGAGACGAATGTTACGAATTCCTTGGACCGACCGTAGAACAAATAATTCAATTTTAAGAGAGCTAAAAGTTAGCCAACGACTCTCTAGTAAAGTCCATCTCCAACAATTAAAATATTTTGGGCATGTTATGAGAGCAAACACAGAAAACATGGAAAGACTCATAATACAAGGAAAGGTAGAAGGCCGAAGATCACGAGGAAGATCCCTAACAAGATGGATAGATCAAATTACAGGAATATGCCAAAGATCTATGCATGAATTAAAAGAAATGACCAGAGACAGAGATCTCTGGAGACGGACAATACACGACATCACGTCGACCACTACACTCCCCCTGGGGGTCAAGATTGAAGAGAGAGACATAGAAAGACACTGCAACGCTTGTTCCGCAAAAAGAACGCACAACTCAAAACGCGCGACCACTGTTTGTGGCTAATACACTGCCAAAAAAAATCAAACAAAGTCAAGTAATTTATATTTATTATTTTATTTAAATATAAATTTACAATGATAAAAAATAGAAAATATTAATAGAAATAAATTCTCAATCAGCGTTAATTAAGCAGTATAAAAATATTATAAAGGCTACCACGTCATGATCACCTACACTAAAACAGTAAATAGCACAGCCAGAATTATCTAAGGATATCAACTGAAGAATCGGTAAATATAACTTAATATGAAACATATAATATTGTAAAGAATATTTAATATTATATATATTCTTTATCATATGAGGATCACTATTAACCTGTACCACATACCTTTTATGTATTCGCAATTTCAAAATCTTTTAGTATACATAATATCCCCCACCCATTAAAAATTCTGACTACATCATAGTAAAGTTAGTACTCAGTATACTACGCATCTGTATGTTTGGTTGCCTACCAATTAAGCGAAAGATCATTATAACTCGTTCCAGACAAGACTTTGTTGGAAAATGTTTAAAGAATAGCCACTCGAATTTTTTTGTAACTGAGAAGACCTTCGTACGCAGGAATACTTAGTATGGCTAACCTAACTTCTTTTGAACTTTGCCGACAACTTGAAGACTTAATTAGAGAATGGATTCCGAATAGTTTTATGGCTCATTTAAATATGGTAACTATATTCCTGGTAATGGAGAATTAAGTGGAAACGATTTAGGTTCAGATTCAGATAATAAGTATATTCCTTTTAATGGAGAACTAAGTGAGGAGGAATTAGGTTCAGATTCCGATAATGAGTATATTTTTTGATGTCGTCAGTCCCAGTCTAATGATAGTAATAGTGAAATAATAAACAAAGAAATTTGAATAATAATATACCTATTTGCTCTGGTAAAATTGAAATTGTCAACAAAAAAAAAGGAACCTGAAAAAATCTTATGAGAATCAGACTATTTTAATAAAAGTGATTATGCATTTAAAGGCATTTTAAAACTACCATATTGTATCATTGAGTTAGAAACATCTGCAGATTTTTTTTGTTTCCAAAAAAATTAGTATCCATGATTGTTGAACAATCAAACATAAAAACTCTGCATAATAACATAAACAAACCTGCTAATATTACCAAAATAGAGCAATTTATAGGAACTGTCATATTTATGTAATTGGTGAAATTACTATCATCGAGATTTTACTGTAATGCAACTGTAGGTCAACCACAAGTATTTGAATCTATGACCTACAATAGATGAGAGAATATAAAGAAACACCTTTATTTTAGTAATAAAAGTAACTCCGTTCCTGTTGGTAATACAGGCCATGAAAAACTGTTCAGAATTCCACCTTAAAAAGCCTTTTACTGGCTCAAAAGGGTGAACATCTGGCAGTGAACGAACAAATGACCCCTAAGAAATGCTGGTACCACCTCAAAAAATATAATCCGGCAAAACCTCACAAGTGGAGATACAAAAATCAACTACGTAGTGGTGTATCAGGCTTTAGTTATAACTCTGATATTTTTGCTGGTGAACAAAGCAATACTTTTTTAAATGGAGCGCGTGATTTAGGAGTCAGTGGAAATGTTGTCACTAGACAGAGACAGTGCCAAAGAATGTTAATTATAAAATATTTTGCGATAACTGGTTTAATAGTCCACAATTACAAATTTATCTTACAAAAAATGGATTATTGTCTTTAGGTATGGTTCAATTAAACCGTGTTCCAAATTTAGGAATCCCATCGGAAAAAGAATTCAAGAAAAAAAAATGTGATTTCATTGTAAAAAAGTTGCCCTTGTTGAAGACGTAAACATAAGTCTAATAACTAAATCGAAACGCAACCGTCATTTATTTTATTTTTAATTTCTAATAACTTAGTTTAATAATAAGCCAGTAAATATGTTATCAACTTACATTGGTTTGGTAGTGAACCTAGAACCACAAAACATAGGTACTTCCGAAAAGAAAAAACGTACAAAGAAAGGACAGCTCTAGCGAGGAAAAGCGGGTTTCCTGGCTAGAGCTGGTCAACGGTCTATAATAACTTTAACACACTTATTTAGGTACTATCAGGAAAAACAAACGAGAGTTTCCAAACGAGTTGTTGTCGAATAATCAACGCGAGGCTTATTCTTCATTTTTTGGTTTTACTAAAGACGTAACCTTGCTGTCTGTAGGAGTAGATGTAGTGGATCAAACTTGTGATCAAACGGCACACGCAAAACTCAATAACTGACAGTTGATCGAGGCAACATAATGGTAACCATATAACTGTAAACACACTGTGTTTTTAGCAGTTCAGCTCTAATCACCAATGCGACATGATGCTGCCCATGAGACAGTGCTGGAATGAAGTACGCAAACTAAAATATTTGCACATTCGTTTTTAAGAAGGTACCCCAAAATATTTTTACAGTTCTTGAGCTGTTAATATTTATAATCAGCTAATAGAATAAATGGACTTAATAGACTTGATCACTATCAAAGGCCCCCCTTGTGATAATTTTCCAGAGGAGACAGGTCCAGAAATAAGCAAAGAAGAAGTAATGCAAGCGGTAAGTCATCAAAGAATAGCAAAGCTCCAGAACCAGACGAGCTACCATTGGATATACTAAAGTTGATAGAAGAAGATCGAATCCATTTCTTAGTAGACTTATTTAACAAGATTTATGAAAACAGTATAATTACTGAAGAATGGCTAAGATCAACCTTTGTCCCTCTTCCCAAGAAAGCACGTGCTGAGCAGTGCCGTAATCATTGCTTGACCAGTCTGATGAACCATACCTTAAAAATATTCTTCAAAATAATGCACAATAGAATTTACAGAAAATTGAAAGAAGATATTGGAGAAACTCAGTTTGGATTCCGGGAGGGATATGGAATAGCGAAGCATTATTTGCCTTTAAATAATGCTTCTTGACATAAAAGAGGTTGGATGTGAATTAAGATGTATTTGCTTGTTTCATTAATTACAACAAGGTGTTTGATAAAGTCAAGCATGACCAACTTTTAGAGATATTGAAAGCTAAACAGTAAAACAGACACTAGGGATATAAGAATAATAATCTAGGTACTCTGTATTATAATCGGAAGGCAGTGGCACGCGTCGGAAATAGCACAACAAATAAAATTTAAATTAAAAAAGGAGTTCGACAAGGATGTGTGCTGTCACCAACCAAGAAGAGATTGGGATAAAAGTTAACGGAAAACCAATTAATAATATTAGATACGCAGATGATACAGTTTTAATGGCGGAGACAGTAGAAGACCTGCAAGCCATTTTAAACAAGGTAGTTACAGCTAGTGAAGAGAAAGGGTTAACAATGAAAGTCAAGAAGACGAAAATCATGATTATTTCAAAAAAAAATAAAGATTGAATGCAAACCTTTACATTCACAACAACGAAATGGAACGGATGCACAAATATAAATATTTGGGAACAAGTGTTAATAACAACTCTAGCCCGAGAGTTCAAGCCACAACTTCAAGCCATTCAAGACTCTAATGGAGAAGTAAAAACCGACGTAGAGAGCATCGCAGAGACCTGGAAAAATTACTGCTCAGAATTATACAAAGACACTTCAAAAGATGACGCATCAGTCTCAGAACACAAAAATCATGCAATCAGAGAGGCTGAACCAATCATTTTACGAGCAGAAGTAGAGAAGGCTCTTAACCAACTAAGAAACAAAAAACTCCAGGAATCGATGGCATAACAGCGGAGACTCTAAAAGCAATAGGCGAAATTGGCGTAGATGTAATGCTGGATATGTGCAACATGATATGGATCACAGGTGAATGGCCTGATGAGTGGTGTGAATCAACCTTGATCCCTATCCATAAAAAAGGATCACTAACCATATGCAGCAATTACAGAACCGTTGCCCTTATCCCTCATGCAAGCAAAATCCTGCTACATATAATCAATGAACGGCTAAAGAACTTTCTACTTCCAGAGATAGCCGAAGAACAATGTGGATTTGTACCAGGAAAGGGAACGCGTGAGCAAATACTCAACACCAGACAGATAGTAGAAAAAGCGAGAGAACATAACATACCAATGTTGCTCTGTTTTGTAGATTACACAAAGGCTTTTGATTCAGTAAAATGGGATCCTCTCTGGAGTATAATGGAAAATATGGGAGTACCTAACCACCTAGTTAACTAATAAGAAATCTGTATAATAAAAACTCAGCCAAAGTTAAAGTACATGGAATATATTCAAATGCATTCAAAACAGAGAAAGGAACTAGACAAGGTTGCATACTATCACCATTATTGTACAACATATATTCTGAATATATAATGAGAAAAGTACTAGATGAATGGGATGGAGGAATCACTATAGGAGGCAGAAAAATCAGTAACCTGCGATACGCAGATGACACACTTATACTAGCAGCGAATGAAGTCGAAATGATTACCATCATCGAACGCCTAAGCCGAATAAGTGAAGAATTCGGATTTCAAATCAACACAAGAAAACCAAAAATAATGATTGTAGACAGAGCAAATAATAATCTACCGCATATACGCCAAATAGGGATTTTCGAAGTAGTCGACAGATTTGTATACTTGGGCTCTCTGATAACCAACAATGGTGATTGTTCCTCAGAAATCAAACGTAGACTAGGAATGGCCCGAACAGCAACTGCTAAATTAATTAAAATATGGAAAGACCGAACCATAACAAGTAATACTAAGCTTAGGTTGGTCAATGCCCTTAGTTTTCCCATTTCTACATATGCAGCTGAAACATGGACTCTCAAAAAAATCGATAGGAGTAAGATCGAAGCCTTCGAAATGTGGGTATATAGAAGAATTCTACGCGTGTCCTGGACAGAACATAGAACCAACCTGTCAATTCTGGAAGAGCTTCATATAAAAGACAGGCTACTAAAAAAAGTAAACCAAGCATACCTAACTTACTTCGGACACATAGCTAGAAGAACGGGCACCATGGAACTATTGGTAGTAGAAGGTAAGGTAGAAGGCCGAAGACCAAGAGGAAGATCTCCAATACGATGGGTGGACCAAATGAAGAGTTTGGTGGAAAAATCCTTACATGAAGCCGTCCATATGGCACAAGATCGCAGTCAATGGAGACAGCAGACTAATAATATTTAGGGTGTCACTACGCCCTGACAAGGGCTAAAGGATTGAGGAGGAGGAGGAGTTAATAACAACAATGACATTACAGAAGAAATAAAAACTAAAATTGGAAAGGCTCGAGCTGCTTTTGTTAATCTAAAGAAAATTCTGAGAAGTCATGACAATAACTTAAACCTAAAAATGAAATTGAATTTGGACAAACAAAATAACAAATAGTATAGTTCTTTAAGGAATGAACAAAGAACGGGAGCTGTTCATCACCATGAAAAGAAGAAAGTTGGAATATCTTGGTCATGTGATAAGAGGTAAAAAGTACCTATTGCTCCAGGTAATTATCCAAGGAAAGATTTAGAGCAAACGAGGCGTGGGGAGATGACGTATGTCTTGGTTGCGCAATTTAAGAGACTGGTTCCAACAACAGCTTCAAAGATACGAATAGCAATGATGATTGCCAAACTCCGGAGAAGAGAGGGCACTTGAAGAAGAAGAAGAATAAACTTGATGCTGGGGCCTTACAAAATCCATCTTATATCAAGAAAATGAGATAAACAAATGTTTTTTTTATATATGTGATCTATGTGTTGTAAACGCATGGATACTCTGGTGTAGAAAAAATTAACAAAATTGCTATATACCACTATTTAACTTCAAACAAGCCGTTTCTAAACAATTATGTAAATCAGGGAAGGCAGTACCAAGAAAGAGAGTTCGTCCCGTGGGGCAAAATGGGACTCCAACGTCTAGTCATCAAGGAACTCCAAGATCTAGTTGTCAAGGAACTGCATTTGTGTTGTTTTTACCAAATCAATTTATGACACAGTTATAAATCAGAATGACGTAGTCAACTATCCTACAGAGTTATTTAATGCATTGAAATCTTCTGGACTCCTAATACGTTACAATTAAAAGTAGGATCAGCAAATCACTTGAATTGAATTGAATTGCTTACTTGAATTGAAAACTGCTTATCTGGGTCATATATTTCGAAATTCCAAGTACCTGTTCCTAAAGCTTATTATGGAAGGGAAAATAGAAGGAAAACAAGGCATCAGAAGAAAGAAATACTCAGAACTTAAAAACACAAGAGATTGGAAAAACCTCGATGCCCTTGCACTTTTTATAGCCACACAAGATCGAGAGAAATATGCCAGAATTGTCACCAACTTCCACTAATTGGATAGGGCACCATAAGAAGAAGTAAAGTAGGTTGAATTTTTACAAGAAATTTTTAGGGTATTTTGATACTTCGTCTCTGTAACGAACTGTCTTATCGAATTAACGATTTCTTAGTTTTTTAATATAATATAATTTCACAAATTATTCTGCGATTAAAGATATTTCACCAAAAGTAAATAATATTTATTATTGTTATCAATACAAAATAAAAAATATTTATATTTAGTTGTAATATTCTCTTAAAGAATTCTGACTGTACTATTTAGCGCTTGCAGATCGAGCGTTTTGACATCAGAAAAGATTCGAATAAAATTTTAAGCCAGACTATCTATTTATTTCTTGCCATAATTTTGTTTTGATTTAGATGCACCAGGTTTTGGTTTATTAAATTGGTAATCAGCACATTTGGGAATATGACGTTCGGCAGCAGCTTCGTTAAATCTTCTATTGCAATGTGGGCATTGGACATAGTCTGGATTTGTCGATGGTGGGGGTGGTGGGAGATCTGATAGCTTTCCTCCTTTTGACAGATGAGCTTGAGCTTCTTTCGCTGCTCTAATAGCTGCTATAAACTCCTCGTGCGTCCTTCGCCAGTCTTTCTTTGGAGGAGTTTTAGTAGACGACTAGAACATAAAAAACATTGACATATAAACGTATGGTAGGCAAGAAGTGGTATTATGGCTTCATAATCAAGACATAAAAAAATATGGTTACGACAGGCGGAGAAAACATCAATGACAAGAGCTGCAGAATTTAGCAAAGCACGCGTTAATACATTCTATGAACTTTTACAAAGAATGTGTGAAGAGGAAAAATTTACCGCTATACGCATATTCAACGTCGATGAGACAGGTTGCTTAACCGTACAACGGCAATGCCAGAAAATATTAGCCACGAAGGAAAAATATTAAATTGAGAACATTTTTAGTGAATATAGGGGGGTTAACACCACTGTCGTTTATAATGCTAGTACAGCAGGGCAGTTTGTACTAACTATGATAATTTTTAAGAGGCAAAGTTTTCAACAGAAACTCTCATTAGCTGCTCTGCCTGGCAATTGTCACTATAAGCGATACTGAATATATCAGTAGCGATATTTTTGTGACATGGCTTAATCATTTCATTGAAACAATTAAATCAGGGGAGTGAATGGCTAACGATAGACCTCTGGGATCACATGTCTTACCGGAAGGTATGTGGCAATAAAACCTGGATGAATAGTTAAACATTACGTCTGTTAGCAAGTCCGATTCCCACCTCCACGTGGTACTTCCTGGGTAACGCTAACGGGAAAGGGCGAAAGGCGAGCTTCCGGCGCCTTAAAACTGGAACACTCCGGTTAAGGGAGAAAACCCCGACAGGAAACATGAGGAAGGCAATAGGAAACCACCTCATTAATTGTCCCAAGAAAGTTATGATGGTAAATGAAACTAAATCGATGGCCCCCAGTGCCCGGCAGAACTTAAATGTTCAGGGGGTGCTAAGAATCCCCGGGAGGAACAAAAACAAATACAAAACTAAGTTGGATACGATCAATTTGGATTCAGAGCCGAAATGGGGACCAGAGAGGCCTTGTTTTCACTACAAGTACTGCTGCAGAAGTGTTACGACCAACAAAAGGATGTCTTTCTATATTTTGTAGACTTTGAAAAGGCATTTGATCGCGTAAACCATAATAAAATGTTAAATTCCTTGCAGAGCATCAACTAGGATAGTAAAGATCTCCGATTAATTAAGAACTTATATTGGAGGCAGAGTGCCAAGATTAGGATCGACGATCATACATCTAGAAATATTAGTATAAATAAAGGAGTAAGGCAAGGATACTATCCCCTATGCTGTTCAATCTTTACTCGGAACTACTATTCAAGCAAGCCTTGGAAAACCTTTCCACAGGAATAAAAATTAATGGAGAACCAATATCTAGCATAAGATATGCAGATGACACTGTCCTACTAGCTGATACAGACACAAACTTACAGAGGGTTATAGACCACCTTAAGGATGCTTGTCGAGAGTTTGGAATGAAGATCAACGAAAAAAAAAACAAAAGTAATGGTGATCCAAAGAAAACAGAATATCCCCTTACCTATAAAAATAAATGGGAATATTTTAGAACAAGTAAACCAATACAAATACCTTGGCTGTTGGATTAATTGCAAGCTGGACCCAGAACAAGAAATTAAAGCGAGAATTGCTCAAGCTAGGGATAGTTTCTTTAAGATGCGCGTTCTATTCTGCGATACACATATAAATATGAGATTAAAACTTATAAAATGTTTTATCTGGTCTTCTCTTCTTCTCTACGGAGTCGAAACGTGGACTTTAAAAATAAAGAGCCTGAATAGAATCGAGGCATTTGAAATGTGGGTGTACCGTAGAATTTTAACAATTCCTTGGACAGCACGAAAAACAAATGAAGAAGTACTAGCTAGACTCAATTTAGAAAAAGAACTATTGAGAACAGTCAAAAGAAGAAAAACCAGTTATTTAGGGCATTTGTTCCGCAACGAGAAATACTGCATCCCTCAGTTGATAATAAAAGGCAAAATAGAAGGAAAGCGAGGAATTGGAAGAAAAAAATTGTCCTGGTTACGTAATATCAGAAACTGGAGAGGACTTGGATTTGAGGAACTCTTAAGAGCAGCTGAAGATAGACAAATGTTTGCCACCATAACCGCTAACCTCCATTAATGGAGACGGCACTTGAAGAAGAAGAATTAAATCAAACTCTAAGACTGTTTTGTTACTGTTGGGCCACAGCACCCACAGTAAAGATAAAAAGCTCTACAAATTGTCAAAGATAGTATACACATTCAACCGTTGCATATTAGATTCTTCAGAGATTTTCAACATTTTTTATGGACAATGCATTTAAAAATGGTTGCGAAATGAAGTTGGTTAAACTGTATCAATATTTCAAGTTTTCTATATAATTGGAGAGGCTTATTCGCTCCGTGCGTGACTGATGCGACACCTACCGCCTTCATCTGACAATTTGGGAATCCCAATTTTCAGGTTAAACTTATGACATATGTTTGACATTGTTAAATACATGCGAAATTGACAATTATTAATAAATTAGTTTTTTTAGCTATATTTTAAAGTTTATGTACAAAATAAATGTAGTATTAAAAACTGGGTTTCTCAAAATTCATCATAATATACCTTTTCAACTCCAAACGGAAAAGAAAGGGAAAAATCTAGTACTGGCAAATCAAGTTTTTCACGCAAAAGAGCATATAATTAAAAACAATAATAGTAAAAGTTAGGATATAAAAGCTAAAGTCATCTGCAGTTTGCTTGTAGCCTTATGAAATATCATTCAAGGTAAATTATTTAAATTTTTTCTATTTCAATTGCATAAAAATGAAACTATGTGATATTTACTTTTTCATATTAATAGCACGAATTCATCTTTTTCTTTTTTCTAATTTATATGTAATTTTTGGGAACCTATGAAAACTACAATCACTATTTTTGCTATTATTAGCACAATTAAATACGCAACGTGTATTTGCACGCATTTTTGATAAAATTTATGCGTAAAAATATTTTGTCCAATATTCCCATTTTGTCATATTTCGCCGCTACGCACGCTGGCATCGTTTCAATGTATCCCTACCATGGTCACGCACGGAGCGAATAGGAGCTGATATAGGCTCAGAATATAACCCGGTAGTTACTGTGATAGAGGCGAGACCAAAAAAGATTAGAAAATCACACAGAAAGGCACTAGATTTAAATAAACTTAGAAACAAAAATATACGACAAGAAACAGGAGAGGAATTAAATGAAAACCTCTGTTCAGTGCAGCAACAAATTAACAATACAAATACCTTTAACCAAAAATTAAAGTACATAAATTCATCTCTACAAACAGCAGGAAAGAAACATCTTACAACAACAAAGAATAAGGGGTGTATGACACAAGATATATTAGACTTAAGAAACAGGAGAGGAACTAAATGAAAACCTCTGTTCAGTGCAGCAACAAATTAACAATACAAATACCTTTAACCAAAAATTAAAGTACACAAATACATCTCTACAAACAGCAGGAAAGAAACATCTTACAACAACAAAGAATAAGGGTGTATGACACAAGATATATTAGACTTGATGGAACAAAAAAGAAAGATGAATAATTACCTAGACGAATACAAAGAAATAAACAAACAAATGGAAACCTATGAGCACAAGTACGATGTGTTCAATATGCACAAAAAAGTAAAAGAGATAACAAATAGATAAAGTTAAAGACAAAAAAGGAAATCTTATTGTAGATCTAGAGAATAAAATAAAAAGATGGACAGAATACCTGAATGAATTATTTGAAGACGATAGAAACAACTTAACTCAGATAATCACTACAACTGGGCCACATATATTAAAACAAGAAGTAGAATACGCAATAAGAAATGCTAAAAATGGACCTGATGAAATTACTACAGAACTGTTGAAGCTTTTCAATGATAATTCCGTAACCATAATATTATAATGTACTATCTGTTCAATACAATGTACAGTACTGGTATAATACCTTAAGAATGGTTGCTGTCTACGTTTGTTACCATACCGAAGAAAACTAAGGCAACGCAATGTTCAGATCATCGAACAACCTTCTTGATAAGTCATCTGCTTATAATATTTCTTAGAGTCATCCACAACCGAATCTATTACTATTATTAGAAGTTAGATATTGATATTAACGATAAACAGATGGGATTCAGAAAAGGATTAGGTACAAGAGAAGCTTTCTTTGCCTTAAACGTCCTAACACAAAGATATCTAGATGTTGACCAAGAGGTACTACACGTTTGTTTTATAGACTTTGAAAAGGTCTTTGACAATGTACGCCACATTAAACTCATACCTGGAAGGAATCCTGGAGGGCAAGAACATCGACACCAGAGACATACAAATAATATTAACGAGCTACTATAAAAATAGACCAAACAGCGGACGAAACAGAAAAACGTAGAGGAGTATAACAGGGTTGTATATTGTCACCGTCTTGTTTAATATCTACAGCGAACAAAAATGCCAAGAAGCTCTCTCAAATGCAAACGAAGGGATAATAGTCAATGGAGAAATTATCAGTAACATTGGATATGGTGACGATACTGTGATAATGGCAAGAACAGTGAAAAATCTACAACATCTAGTTGAAAGTATGAATGAGATATATGATAACTACAGCATAAGGATGACTACAGTCAAAATATCAAATATATGACCTTCAGTAAGAATCCAATACATGACACTAGTATCGCAATAAACGGTACCCAACTCGAAAAAGTAAGCGAATACAAATACTTGGGAACCCTCATTAATGAAACGGGTGACCAAAAACACGAGATAAAAAACGTATTGAAATTTCTGTGGTTTGGCTGTACCACTAACGAATTATTCAAAACAGCAGTAAATAAAATTAGAATCGCCCTTATGATATCCAATCTGCAATAGGAGAGGCACACAAGAAGAAGATGGGCTTGCTGCAAGAGTGAAAAATATACAGAACGCGTTTTGTACTAGTGGCATTTGTCCTACAGCTGAAATTTTTTTAAAGAAACTGATTTTTCAGTTTTAATGATGTTTACAGTGCAACAAACTTTAACCATGAATTCCAACAAAAAGCAACCTCTTCTGAAGAAGATAATATTCCATTGGCAGAAGGAACGAAGAGAGCATCATTTTCCCTAGATACTATTTAAGTTCAGGATATATCTAGAATGCAGTAGAATTGATTAGTTCCTCGTTCCTCCAAAAAAGCATGAGCTGAGGCATCTAAAGTAAAATCGGGTAAAACTACTTTAAAACTACTTTTTAAAATACTTCACTGAGTGATTGTCAGTATAAGCAATCTTTAACTAACTGAAGGCAACGAGAAACCATTATTATTAAAGATCACCAGATTTCCCTAGAACAATAAAGATGCAAAGTGCGTTCAATGACATGGGCCTTAGTCCGCGGCGGACCTTTAATGGCCAAGGGGTGCTAAGAATCTCAGGAAGGAGGAGCTACTCGAATGTGGCAACTAACTATATAGAGAACAAATCCTTTTTAAATTTCGTGACATTAAATGTGGAGAGTTTGTTCAAACAAGGAAAGACATACAACACGGTTCAGGAAATAAACAGACTAAACCTAGAAATATTAGGTATAAGCGAAATGCACTGGCCTAGTCCCGATAAATCATTGGTCATGAATAAAACGATATACTACTCCAGAAACGACACCCGAGATCATCTATATGGAGTTGGAATAATGTTATCTCCAGGAGAATCCAATCAGCCGTTGTAAATTTTGTTCCTTTTTCAGATAGAATGCTATTATTACAAAGACAGAGTAAGCCAGTGAACAATGATGTAGTGCAAGTGTATGGTCTAACCGCAGATAAATCAGAAGCTCAATGCTTCACATAATGTGAACATTATGTGAAGCAAAATCAAAGATTCTGGTATAAAAACAAAGAAAGAGCTCTACAAAAGAAAACAGAAAGCCGAAAACCTTGGGTAACTCAAGAAATACTGGAAATTATGGAAAACAGAAGAAAATATAGAAACAAAAACCCAAACAAGTATAAAGAAAAACATAAATTAATAAGAAACAAATTAAAAGAAGCTAAGGAAAAGTGGATGATAAAAACAGGCATCGAGTTTTTATCATCCACTACGAACTACCTATCTATCATTTGTGATATTTTGCAATATAAATAGTATTTAGTAAATGATTTTTATGATAAAATTTTAAAATATTTATGAACATGTGTAATACAATAAATATTTAAAAAGTGGTCCAAATTAAAAAACCTTACACTATATTGGTCTACTGTACCTTCACATTATTTGCTTTAGCCTTTCCCTTGGAGGGAATAATATACGACTCCAATTCTGTACCCATAACCCTGTGCTTTGTGGCGTCATATGCTTTCCTTTTCTTCTTGCCCGTTTTGGAACAAACCTCTTCGTGCTTTTGAACTCGATCCTCAGCGAATCTTCTGCCACAATAATTACATTCGGTAAGATCGTCTCGAGTTACTACGGACCGAGGACTTTGCTGTTTAGCGGAAGGGCGAGATGATGACGGTGCCTTTTGTAGGGATTTAGACTAAAAAACATATTTTGTTAGTACAAAAACAACTTTTCATGTTCAAAATAAAATAACCAATATAATACAGGGTGTGTTTTTAGTGTGAAATCGGTCGATAATTCCATTATGGTATAAAATATCCAAAAAACTTATTAAGAAAAAATATAAACAATGATATTCTTGATTTTTTTTTGAACCTATTCTCTATCCTTCCATTGTTGGATATAGGTCTCCCCCAGTTCTCTCCATCTTTTCCTATCTTGAGCTGTTCTCTGCCATGTGGGACCTCCTTGTTTCCTGATGTCATCTTTCCACCTCATCTGTGGTCTGCCTCTTGATCTCTTTGCATTGTATGGACGCCACTTTCCGATGGCATTGTTCCATCGTCCGTCTTGGAGACGTTCATTGTGTCCAGCCCATTTCCATTTCAGTTTTGCTGCTTGTTCTATCGCGTCTACTGTATTTGTTCTGTTTCTGATCTACTGGTTACATTTTTTATCTCTAAGTGATACACCCAACATTTGTTCTCTCCATCGCTCTTCGATAGAGCAATAGAGCGATGATATTCTTGATACTTAAAACATATCTGAGATTTTACAGGGTGATTAACAACTATGTGGTATAACATACAATTTTTTTACAAAACAGCGACGACAAGGATTATAATGGAGAAGAAACGGAAGAAGAAAATTCCATTGAAAATAGCAACCAGTGTGAGGTTCCTAACGTTAACAGTCTGAATGAAACTGGAAATCGCAATTCAATAAAACGTAATTATTTAAGAAGAAAAACTGGCCTCAGCTATGTTGGTTACAAAAGAATGCGCGAGTGAAAAGTGTCTCGTAGTACTACTAGAACTCCAAGAAAAATTAAAGAACGCTACACTCTTAACGTTACCGGGGAAAATCAGAAAAGCAAGAACATTAAGAGAATTTTTCGATGATCGTAGAAAAATTTTTCAACAATTTTGGAAACTCAATACATGAGGGGAAAAACAGGCTAACGTGAAAGGCCTAATAGTTACTAGAGATATTAAAACAAGAAGGAAACAGGTCGATAATAAAACAAAGATGAAGAATGTAGGTCCTGACATTTATTTGCTAAGCAACGATGGCCAAACAGTCAAAGTTTACAGAATGTTTTTATTGAATAGCCTGGATTTGGGTCGTTGTACGTTAAATAGATGGAATCAGATTTCTATTGTATTTCCCATGATCACGAATGACAACCTGGAAGACTCAGAAGATGAACTTAATCAGATAGATCTAAAATCTACTAAACGAAAGAAAAAATCTATTGTACATGACAAGATTCGAGAATGGCTAAGTTTTTTACCAGAAGTTCACAGCGATTACTGCAGGTCCTCCTCCACAAAGACTTATGTAAAATATACTTTTAGGTCTATATGCCATATGCACTCTGTTTATGAAGAATTGTGCAAAGAGAACGAATTGAAGCCTGGGCCTAAAAAGCTTTTCACTGGTGTTTTGAAAGAGGAAAACATCTCAATTCATAAGCCCAGGAAAGATCAGTGCTGCGGGGAAAAGCTAGGTCTTGTAGATGAAAATACATTTCAAAACCATATTAAAATGAAAGATGAAGCTAAAGTTTCCAAGCATGAAGCTGAAGAAAGTGCTACCCATTAGAAACTGATGCTCGCGATAGATGCAGAGTGTACTTCTCAGTCCAAAAACTCTGGCATCTAAGATGTACTATAAGCAAAAGTTACAAATCCATAATTAAGTGATACTGCAAAATCTAGAAATATCATTATTAAGCAATTATACCTGGAAAAAGGGCATACTATGATGCATGCGGATTCTGTTCATTCCAGTCTTTAACCTTACTTTTAGCCTCCCATTAAATATCCAGCGGATTACATATCTCCCATGACAGCAGTAAGGCCAAAGAAACCATACGATGTTATTTCTTTGGACTATACTTTTTTTTCAACTATTAAGTACACTTCCCTCAATAAGAGCCGGTAAAATGGTAGGAAACCCTATTGTCACAAATATTCGTGGTATAAAATACTTGCCTAATGGAGAGATACAGTTTTGACTCTGCCATAATGAATCATGGGATAGCTTATCTCATAGACCAAAATGTGGCAAACAAAATCCAAAATCATTGTATTCTTCCCCACCTCCTATTGAAAAAACTAAATACGATCATCTCATGAACTTAAAGTCAGTGATAGAACCAGACCACCACATGTATTATGAGAAATAACAGTACGATTACGTACATAGATTTCGAAAAGGCTTTCGGCAGAGTCGAACATTGGGCAGTGAAAAGATCTTTGATTAACAGCAGAATTGACCACAGATATACAGAACTAATAAGTCAAGATATATATAAGGAAGCCAAAACAACAATTAAAGTATATGAAGGAACAAAATCAATACAAATAAATAGAGACGTGAGACAGGGTGATACAATATCACCGAAACTTTTCAATCGGGCTCTTGAAGATACTTTTAAAAGATTAGAATGGGAAGAAAAAGGTATAAAAATTTGTGGACAACGCTTGAACCATCTAAGGTACGCTGATGATATCGTATTGATAACTAATAAAAAAGAAGAATTATTTGAAATGATGAAAGAACTGGACGTAGAAGCTGGAAAGATAGCCCTTAATAGGAATTACAGCAAGACCAAAATCATAACAAATACAGATGAAGACATCACAATGAGAATCGGATAAGATGAAATAGAACAAGTTCAGGATTATATATATATATATATATATATATATATATATATATATATATATCTTGGTCAAACTATAAAACTTAACACAGAGAACCAAACAGCAGAGATAAAGACACGAGTTAGACTGGCATGGGCGGCATTTGGCAAACTAAGCTACATTCTTAAAAACAAAAGATATCCACAGCATCTTAAGACCAAAGTATACAATCAATGCATGTTTGTTACCTGTTCTTACTTATGGTTTCCAAACGTGGACATTTACAAAAGCAAACATGGACAAAATCATAAAAACCTAAAGAGCAATGGAAAGACAAATGTTGCACATAAGACTAAAGGATATAAAAAGAAACGAGTGGATAAGAGAGAAAACAAAAGTGAGCGATGTTAGACAAGAAGTTGCAAAATTGAAATGGATATTTGCCGGACACAATATAAGACAAAAAGAAGACCGATGGAACAAAATTCTTATGAGTTGGAGACCGTGGGAATATAAACGAAGCAGAGGAAGGCCCCAAATGATATGGGCAGATGATATCAAGAAGCACGTGGGCTCTAGGTGGATGACTGTAGCGACAGACAAAGAAGAATGGAAAAGGATTGGGGAGGCCTATGTCCGAAGATGGACCGAAGAAGACTAATTAGATAGATAGAACCGTACGATAAGGAAAAAAAACTAGTTCAAACATTAGTAAATTTTGTAAATGGGCTAAATTTATCATTGCCAGTTTTCAATTTTTTTAAATCTGCATAGATAAACGCTTTTGTGTTTGACCAATATCTGCCATGTTGCATTATTTGAACTAGTAACACCTGCCATGTGTCAAATTATTAGTATGAACAGGAAATAAAATAAGAACAAGGGGTTTGAATAAAAAGTTGCAGTTTTTTCCTTTTCCTGTAAAATTTGGGCTATTACACGCGCAATAGCGATGTACATGGTATTGATTTCATAGGAACTTCTAAGTAAAAATGGCTATAACTTGTTAAATACTCTGTATAGTAATTCAAAGCCTAATTTTATAAGAACAAGAAATATAAGAGAAATATAAATATGAAAAAATATACAGGGTGTCCCATTTAAAACAATTTTATGTTTGTTATAGCACGTAGTTATTAATCACCCTAGAGAATTCCACATATTTTTTAATTATGTATATAGATTCGATTTACTTTAAAGCAGAATCAATATTCTGACCTCTAATCAAACAAAAAAAGCAAGTATAACGAAACTTGGTTTACCTTATCGTTCATAGTAGGAGTAGAAGTAGTTTTCTTTACGGGACTACTTGGTGTGCTAGTTTTAGGAGATATAGGTGAATGTGCTGCAGAATTTCTTTTTGTGTTCGGTAGGTTGTTCTTTTTCGGTACTGACTGTAATATAAAATAAAATTGTATATAAATTGAACTTGTTTATAAATGTCAAAGAACTGATATTTTGTCAGTGTCAAGGAATATCAAAATATAATAAATTATTGTAAAATTTCTTGCACGTCATTGAATAGTAGCTATTATGGACTTTTTTCTGCGTTTGTAAAAACGTTGAACATTAAAAATTTGATTTATTGGCTTTACCTTATACAGATTCACCAACACAATCTTATTTTATTACATTTACATAGATTTTAGAAAATAAAAGCTTATTTAGATTTACCTCTTTGTTCTCTCCGCGTAACTTTAAAATGTCGGTTCGGTTTTCTTCATTTTGTAAGTTATACGCATATTAGTACTGAGTATTATATGTTATGACGGTTATCACTTATCAATCAGTGAAAATAAAACAAGAATTTTGATAGTAATATAATTTTTTGCTGTCATTCATGTCTAAGCATTATTTACTACTGTCAAAAAATTGAAGTAACCATATTATCTTGAATATAGAAATTACTGCTATACAAAAAGTAGATTCATTATTTTAAAAGGCGTGTAAAGAAACAAACTCCCATTTCTTTCAGACTCTTTAATCCTCCGGAAGTCGCGATTGATCTGAGAGATACATCGAAAACATTTTAATAAATATCTTAAAAGAAGTGCATCGCACAATTCTACGGCACTGTCTAGCTTAACATTTATGTTTTCTATTATATTATTTTTCTATTTTATGTCTTAGGAGTAAGAAAACACATAAGGTCGGCTTTCAGGTAATTTCTATCGGTTCAGAAGTAAACGTTATCGTAACCAAACAACAGTTGTATCTGTCTATTGTATATCTATTGTATATAAGTTAGATGATCCAAAGGATGTTGAAGATTGTCAGAGTATGTTTCTCTATTTTGACGATGGAAATGAATAAAAGAAATGTTTGAAAACGAAAGTGGCGTGGACGAAATCGATTACTTCAAAAAGCGATCAGAAAACTTGGACAGCGAACAAGTCATTTCTAGTGAGGAGAGCAAATAGAACGTATATGAAAACGAGGAGTATGTTTTCGGAAAAGACAAAGTAACAAAGTGGGAAAAAAAGCCAGTTTACGGAAATAAAATTAGGCGACAGAAACACAATATTCTGTGTCAATTGCCTCTAGTAAGGAATACTGTAAAAAATGCAAAAATTGAATATTATTCATATTATGAATGTTGGAGCTGTTTCGTGTCAAAAACAGAGTTGATATTCCAGAGAAAAAGATGCTTAACAAACCGAAAATATAGAACTAAAATCATTTTTGGGCTTTTTGTATTTAGCTGGCTTGACCAGATCGACTAAAGATTGATAAGTTGTCAGCTTTTAGACAAATCTTCTTACTATTTATAGAAATTTGCAAAAAAGATACTCTATGGGACAAAACGTAACTATAGACGAGATGTTGACAAGCTCTCGGAGCAGACGCGGATTAATGCAATATATCCCATCAAAACCTAACAAATATGGGATTTAAATTTTTCCATGGTTGATTCTAAGCTATTTTACACAAGCAATATGGGAATTTATGCAGAACTGCAGCCTAAAATGAATGAATGTGTCTCTGAGATACACGGCGACCTATAACGTACACTTTATGACAGCCACTTCCGAAGGGTTATAAAGAGAACTAAAGCCGGCAGAGCCAAGGGAAAATCGCATGAACGGTAAATAAGCAGGATTTACATGGGGAGCATTCAAATATCACGCCGCTCGCCAGATGAGCCTAAAACAGAATTTGAATAAGCACGGCAGGTCCATACCAGCAATTTCTATTATAAAAAAGCTAATGAAAATATTTAGAATAAAGAAGACAAACTTTCATATAATGTTTATTAATCTTGAGACGTCTTATGACAAAGTTATCAGAAACATTCTGTGGTAGACATTAAGTAGGAAAGGAGTGCCGTCTGAATATGTGAGAATAATGCAAGACATATATGAGATTTAACAATTAGCGACCAACAAAAGCGTCCAAACAGTCGCGTATGGAAGCGAAATATGGACGATAACAAAAAGAGAAGTAAATAAATTGTTGGTATGGGAACGTAAAATTCTTAGAATGATATATGGCCCTTGCAGAGAAAGCGTGACAAACGAATGGAGGGGCAGATACAATAACGAGCTAGAGTCTCTATTCGGAAAAGAAAATCTAGTCAGATATATAAAGGCCAATAGACTCAGATGGGCAGGACATGTGATGCGCAGTAATGACAATCGCCTTATAAACATTGTGTTCTGGGAAGAGTCAGATGGAAGAAGGTCTGTAGGGCGACCTAGAAAAAGGTGGAACGATGTAGTCAAAGAAGATCTAGAGAAGATGGGAGTGCGACAATGGGAATTACTGGCACAGGACCGACAAACATGGAAGGCAATAGTAAACGCGGCAAAGACTCACGAAGAGTTGTAGCGCCATTGATGATGATGAAGATGTTAAAACAAATGCAGGTAAAACTGTAAAATTGTGTGTGAAAGTGGGACTTTCGTTGGTGTTCTGTGCATTTATGCTCATATATGCTGGATTAGATAACAGATGAAATTGGTTATCCTTGTTCTTTAGTGTATAGATGTTGTGTTGGAAGAAAAGTCAAAGATAGCAAGTTTCTGCATAAATTACTTGATTCCAAGATTAATTGCAGGCACTAACAATTAGATAATATTTAGACATTTGGTTAGAACAATGCTGGTACCTGTTAGAATTTTACTTCAATTACTTGCAATAATTCTTGAGATACCCAAACCACAACATAAATGACAACTAAAAAAAGGCTCTATAAAGAAATAAGGCACTCTACAGTAATACAATTATAGCTGCATAAACTCATTATTTTACATAAAATATATATTTTATTTTAAAGTAAACATACCATTGTGAGATATTGATACTATTATTTTTCAACATTAATCGATACAGATAAAAAACAATGTATATAATTATTTTCCTTTCTTGACCCTGCTACCTACTAATTTATAGTTAATGACCTTGAACATGAAGTATTTTTCAGAACTATGTTTTCAGGAAAGTTTAAAAGCTATTGCGTGTTTATTGTATCTGACGTAAAAATTAACGGTTTTTTTTTTAAATAGCTGAGTACATTGGGCAACCAAAATTTGTTGTTATAATCTAACCAGTGGCGGCCGATTAGGGTCGGCACTGTGTGAATCTGGTTACGATAATTTAAAGGAATTATTTAGTGCTATACAGAAACATAATATTTTAAAAGATCATGCATACAACCAGATTAAATAAGATTTATTTGGAAAACAAAATATCTATGTTTCATTAGATAATGCCCAACGTGAAAATGCTATTAAACATACGAAATTGTAAAATATAATCACGCACTATTACGTCGTTTTATTATTATTGTAATTTTTTTAGTTGTCAGGAATTATCATTTAGGAGACACGATGAATCGGAGCATTAGTTAAATCAAGGTGATTATAGAAACTAATAAAAATGTTTAAGAAATACGATTTGGAATTTTCGAATTTACTTTCTGATTTGAAGACATTTAGCGGCGTATCTAAAGCAATCCGGAATAAATTAACAGAATCAATTAACATTTTGAATAACGTTATTAAATCTAAGATTCAGGAAATCATTTGGTTATCGCTAGAAGTAGATGAAGTTATTGATATATCATGTAATAATCAATTATCAATTGGTGTTCGATACGTGTAACGTGGTAAGTTTTATGAGAGGTTTTTAGGTTTTACAGACGTGAGTAAAAGCCATAAGATAGAATATATTTTTGGTATTTTAAAGGACAGATTTAAATTAAGAAGGAGCAAACAAAATAATCGAAACTGATGCGTACGGCACTCAGGGGGTAGTTGGAGAGCTGGGTCGTGGATAAGTTGAAATAAATGGGTCGGATTGGGGTATCTATAAAATGAAAACAAAGGGATACTTACATAAATCTCCTGGAACAATTATGAACAAGATATGGCAGACAAGATTACCTTTAGCTATTTCTATTTGGACGTTGCTTCGAGAAAAAACTTCCTGCTGGAAGAAAGAAAATTTCTTCTTCCCTAAAATCAAGAATACGTACAAGGGTTAGGAGACTTTTCTAAATTAAAACAAAAAAATGGATCAGAGAAACAAATTAAACGTTTATTTTTTGTCTCAAACAAACAGTTATCAAAAAAATAGATTGCACAAAAATCATAGTATTTAATATAATACAAAATTAACAAAAACTTACGTGTTTATCTGTCTACAAAGGAGATTGCTACAAAAATTTTCGAAATTATTCCTAGGTTATTTATTAATATGGCCAAATTAGAATATTAAAATTAAGGATATCTTTGTAAATGAAAATATCATAAAATTTAACCTTTTCTATGAAATATCTTTTCTATATAATAATCAAATTAAACTTTTTTACAACAACAGATTAGAACAAAATGTCATATGTCAACACAACATTTTAAGACAGAATAAAGTTAACATTTTTTAGTCACGCCTCTAACATAATATAAAATTTTAATTATTACAATTTTTTTTTAATTTTTAATAAAAGCAATTATTAAAAAAAAGGTCTATTTACTTTGAAAAATTAATATATTAAATGTTACCTTATTTTCACTTATTTCACTTAACAAAGAAACTTGCTACATCTCTGGGATTGAAACTAATCGAACAAATTCTGCACAGGAACAAAGGAAACCATTTCCATAATCAGGAAGGACGATCAAAGATGAAAATCAGGTTTGGTGGAGGAGCAAGCTGACAAACAAAACGAAAGCTGGTGGGGACACCCTATATACTACTCTTCAAATTGTCATCAGTATCCGGTATCTACACAAATCTTATGGTGGTTACCCTGTTCTAAAATGCCATTTTTTGTAAAGAGTAAATTAATCACCTTGACCGGTCTTAAGACATTACACAAAAAAAATGAATCGAATCTTGATTCAAAAACGTCTTTCTAGTTCGAACGCATCTGATTGACTCCTATAGTTAAATTTTACCAATTCAACGCCAAAACAAACTCCCCTTACGTATCCGGAACCTAAACAAACAATCTACCCTCGACACTCGTTCGTAACACTGAACCGACAACAAAACATCTTTTTTTTTCAACCGGAATATTAGGGGACTCGATTGTAAACACAAGACAAAAACATCTATATTTTTGCTTATTTCGTCAAACAACCTTAAAAATTTTTAGCGTTATTACGTATTTAAGAATCTCAACTTAAAATTCCATAATATATTGATCGTTTTAAAAATTCCTTTATAAGAGACGAACGCATAAAAATAATTCGGCGTACTACAGAATTTAAAACAGAATTTAGATTATTACATAGATATTAATTATTAACAAATTTAAAACGCTATAGTCTCAAAAGAATCAAAACGCCAAAAAAACACCCAAACACCATTAAACAATAGAATATGTCAAGCATAATTATCTACCATAAAAACATTACTTACATTTTCAGTTTTAGCGGTAATTCCATTTGTAACCGGAGTTTTCGTGTATAATTTTTTAACAATTCCATTATTATTATTATTATTGGTTAATATACTCTCTTTTTCATATAGATGAGTGTGATCAACTTCATCGAATCCTATGTGAGGCATCTCTTCGTTTTCCAAACTATCACTTGAATTGTTGTTATCCAACATTTCCATCATTTCTCTATAGGACTTAGAATGTATCGCGTCAGTTCCATTATCAATATATCTACTAGTTTCAAAAGCTTCCTTTCCTAAAAAATGAATTGATGTGTTACAAAATTATTTCCACATTCACCAATCATTAATACAGCTACAGAAGAATTTTTCACTATGTAACATAAAACAAAATTTGTTTAATTTACTGTTTGTATTTTGAGAACGATTTCCGAAGTGGAAATTGAAACGTCAATAAACGTATTTATATCTTTAATTGTGGCTTATTCCCAGTTTAATAGTAATTAATTTACAATGCCACAAGAAAATAGCTTCAAAACAATATTTGATAACTTGTCTGAACAGCATATTTTGAGCAAAATATCTAAGAAAAATACAAAAGGAGAAAAGAAACGTAAAAGTGCAGGGTGGGTACAGTCAATAAAAAAAGAAAAGATACAATTTATGAAAGTCTTATTTGTACTTAATTAAGTAACATACCATGAAGACCGAAAATTACTCTAGTTGGTGTATTTTTTGTACTATTTGTTACCTAAAACGTTTAAGTTGCTCTTATTAAATTATTTTTAGTGTACGTTTTGTTACTTTTCAAATAAAACTTTTTTTGGTAGCCATTTATTTCAAAAATAAGATGTTGATCTGCGTCCGTTAGCATTTGCTGTGAAAATTTAATGCTAACGGCGCGGATCCGCGTTTTTTTGACAATTGCTGCTAAATGTGGCATATAATGCCAACAACCAATTCTTATCACTGTTTGTTGAAACAAAGTTCCTAACAGCTGGCATGTTCCTATTAGATTTCGTACTCAGTGAACCTGTTAATATTTATTACTTACCATTATCATTTTCATACAGCCTATTTACAACTTCTCTTTTTTTAACCAATGGTTTTCCATTTTTTACTATACTACTACTGCTTTGCACAGTACTTTTAACAGTCGTCTTCACAGTTCCATTTTTTCTTTCAATATTTATGTTTTTAGTATTACTTTTTGATTTTAACGGTTCTAAAGGGTAACTTTTATCAACTCCGGCCTTTTGTCTTCGTTCGTCGAACATTTGGCGCACTTTACCTCCAAGCAAACCAGTATTTGAGGAATTTAGACTATCGTTACTGCCGGCACTGCCTCTTCCAACTCTATCAAACGCTCTTTGTTGTTGATTTTCGTATAGCTTTAAAAGTTTTTCTTCTTTCTCTTGCATCTGCTTCTGTTGAAAACGAGCCTGAAACAGAAAAGTAAATGTATTATAATCGTAAATAAAGATAAAAGTTTTATTTCATTAAATAAAATTTTTTTAGTATTTGATAAATAAATCACTTTTATTATTAGGACTCTTAAGCTAGCGGGGACAAATGAGCGGAATCCATTTTAACCTACGTAATATTTTTTCACCTATTTTTCAGTAATTTATTACCACCCTAATAATTTTTCACCACCAAGCCACCCTTAATGGAAGCGATTCTGCTGGCTCAAGGTTTAAGCTAGCAGAAATATTTTTTACTAATTTATTACCACTCTAATAATCTAGTAGAATCCAAAAAAAATATGATATATCACAAGTGTGATTAGTGTTTTAAAAATGTATGTGCAAATTATTGAAACTTCGAAGGGAAAACCATGTGCATTGTCTAAAGGGTACAGTTTTCGTATGAAAAAAACAAATAAAAATGGTTCGGATTTTTGGAGTTGTTTGAAAGAGAAAACTGAAAAATGTCTAGGCCGCATAATTATGGGTAATAACATAATAATTAAGGAAGGCGAACATCTGTGTAAGCCGAGTGTTGCAGCGACAGAAGTGAAGCAGTTGGTCTTCAATGCTCAAAAAGAGCTAAAGAAGACAATAGTTATTTGCCGATGTCAAAAATATATCAAGATTAATTTCAAGGATTATATAGTCAAGGACTAGATTTCGTGACAGACATCCCAAAATTCTCTTCAGTGAAAAGTGATTTAAACGATTGTAGAAAACGTGCGCGTGGGCTGCTCACAGATCTAGCGGCAGCATCCGAAATGGTATTTCCAGAAGAAGTTATTACAATGAGCGAAAAAACGAAATTATTATTTATCGACAAGACCACTCCCTCGGGATACAGAATCTTGGTGTTTGCAGCAACAAAGCTAGGGAGATTTTGGTTAACAGTAAGGACACTGTATTTATGGATGAAAGATTCAAAAACTGCAATAAGCAATTTAGTCAAATATATACCGTTCATATCGATATTGGCAGTACGTCAGAGGAGACAAATACAATTCCATTGATATTTGCGTTACTTCCTAACAAAACCAAAGAGACATACGATATGTTATTTTCATCAATAAAAGAGAAACTACCAAATTGGAAACCATCTCTTATAAAACTGGATTTTAAACAGGCAGTGATTGGTGCCTTAGAAAATTATTTTCCTGAAGATAAAAATTTCTGGCTGTAATTTTCATTTCAATCAATGTATATCCTCCTGAGACCTGATGTCCAATTAAATGGACATTTACGTATTATATATTTTTTTCGCAAGAACTAAATTTACACCGCCTAGTCCCACAGTCCATCGTAGTGTACATATTAGTGAACCTGACAACAGCACGCTTTATTGATGAGACCACATTTTAATTTAGTTAACCTCTTAATCGCAAATGATAAACATGGCGAGCAGTTCTAGAAAAACAATTGATGGTAAGTAGCTAATTTTATTAGATTATTAACCTAAATGTTGCTTAGTCTAATAACATACGATATTATAAACATATTAATGTGATTTAATTGTCTTAGCAAATCATTTTGAGTTTGTTTTTATCTAAAATAGGGACGTCCATTTCTATGGACGTCAGGTCTTTAGACATACATAAAATATTATGTATTATTGTGCATGAAACGTCAATAAATTAATTTAAAACTACAATTGTAGCTTTAATTCCCAAATAAAATAGTAAATTATATAAAATATTATATTAGACTTTTTTGTTTCAGCTGTCTTTGGTAACAAAAAATTTTTAAGACCCGAAGTAGACCATGAAAGACTTCTTGAATGTCTGGAAAGTTTGAATATAGACGTTTCAGATTCTGAAAACTATGATGACGGCCTTGATCCAAATGAAGAATTGTCTCAGCAATCAGATTTGGCTCAATTTGGCTCAGATGATGATCAAGACACAGAAATACCATCCGAAGATGAATTAGATAACGTGCCACTCAACTAACGAAAGAAAAAGCTTGAGAACCGAAAAACATAGAATAAAATGGGTGTTTTTGTCCCTCAGCATGCAGATTTTATTGAAATTGTCGATACAGTCCACGAGAGGCAAAATTGGAAAGTTGAAAACTACGTCGGTATGTATTTTGATGATTCAGATTTTGAGAATATTTGTAATTGTACGAATATTAAATTTTTGCAAGAAAAAGGAAAAGCTTTGAACGTTACTCTAACTGAGGTGAAAAAAATTTTTGGAATATCTATCCTAATGTCCTGTCTAAAGTATAAACAAATTAGAATGTTTTGGGCCAAGACAACAAGAGCCAACAGTATTGCACAAGCCATGACACGTGATAGATATTTTCAAATCAGAAGCAATTTAAAAGTAGTTATTGACGCTGATGTGCCTCAAGATCAAAGAAATGCTGACAAATTATTTAAGATCCGGCCTTTGATTGAAAGAATACGAAGAGGTTGCTTAACACTTCCAAGATACAGTGAGGTTGCTGTGGACGAACAAATGATACCTTTTACGGGAGTGTGTAACATGAAACAATTTGTTCGAGGTAAACCTAATCCAGAAGGATTAAAAAATTTTGTCTGCGCCACTCCCAAAGGATTAATATTAGACTTCGATATTTATCAAGGGAAAAATACATTTCTGCAGAATGATGATGATGTTAAGAAGTTAGGTGCTGGTCCATCTGCAGTAATTAAGTTATCTACAATAGTATCAGAAGGAACACATGTTTTCATTGATAGATATTTCACCACCTTACCTTTACTTGAGTACATGTTAAACAAAAATATTTTTTTAACTGGTACAATAATGAGATCCAGAATACCCAAAGCAGTTTATGTAACATCAGATAAGGTGATGAGTCGATTAGGTCGTGGTTCTTCTGAGCAAGATGTAAGATCTGATGGCAAAATTAACATAGTTCAATGGTATGACATGAAATCAGTTATGCTAGCGTCAACTGCGTTGCAAATAGAACCTTTAGATGAATGTAAGCGATGGTCAAAAAAGGACTCCCGATATGTTGAGGTACCTAGACCAAACATTGTTAAAAAGTACAACGAATCCATGGGGGGAATAGATTTAATTGACATGATGATCAGTAATTATCGAATGGGAGCTAGAAGTAAGAAATGGATAGTAAAAACCATTTTTCACTTATTTGATCTTGCGATTGCCAATTCTTGGATTCTGTACAGAGATGACCATAAGCAACTGGGTGATGCTAATAAAACCGTTATGCAGTTCCTGGAGTTTAAAATAGCTGTTTCTGAGTTGCTTCTTAAAGATAACATTTCTGAAAATTCTGATTTTGAGAACGTTTCAACACTGGTAACTAGAAACAGTTACAAACCTAGAACATCACTTCAAACGCCTACTAAGAGAAAGATACAACACATTCCTGCAATGGCATCCGAGTTAAAAAATTCTGTTAGATGTAAGCTTCCAGGTTGTAAGGGTAAAACAAAAGTTTATTGTGAATCATGTGACATATTTTTATGTTTAACGGGAAATAATAATTGCTTTAAACAATTTCATTTACAATAAGTTTGTATTGATGCGATCCTGATGTCTAAAGAAATCTGGGCTAATTATTTTAAAGAATTATTAACAGTACAAGAGGATGAAGACTTAAATGAAAATGTGGAAGAAGATACCACGATGATAGAAACCGAGCTAGAAAAACCAACGAGAGATGAAGTTGAGGAAAATATAAACAGTAGTCGCAACGGTAAAGCACCAGGTATAGACGGTATAAACATGGAACTAATAAAATATGGTGGACATGAACTGAGAGAAAAAATATACCAATTAATAAAAGTCATATGGGACGAAGAAAAGATGCCAGAAGAATGGCACAAAGGACAAATTATCACAATCCATAAAAAAGGAGATCAACAAATGTGTAATAATTATAAAGGACTGATATTATTAAACACAGCGTATAAAATCATGTCAACCTTAATACAACGAAGACTGGCCAAAGCGACAACAAATATCATGGGACAGTATCAATGCGGATTTATTAGGGAAAGTCAACAACAGATGCCATACATACGATAAAGCAAATTACGGAGAAAGCTTATGGATATAAAATAGAAATTGAACTGCTTTTTATAGACTTCCAACAAGCATTTGATTCAATAAACAGAGCGAAATTACTTACAGCTATGAGAGAAATGAGAATACACAACAAATTAAGACGATTAATAAAAATGACAATGAGCAAAACCGTAGTAACTGTAAAAACACAAGAAGGAGACACAGAAGATTTTGTTATAAATAAAGGTGTACGTCAAGGAGATTCATTATCTGCAACTCTGTTTAATCTTGCCCTGGAATATATAGTCAGAAAAATCAACAAAGGTACACTTAGAACGAGAGAGGGACAAATAATAGCATATGCCGACGATATTGTGATAATAACAAAGAACAGAAAAAAAATGGAAAGTATGTTAAAAGAATTGGTAGCAGAAGGGAAAGTAATGGGATTAGTAATAAATCAAGAAAAAACAAAAATAATGAGATTTGACAAAAAATATGACAACAAAAAGGTTAGACTGGGAGAATATATATTTGAAGAAGTAGAAAAGTTTAAGTATTTGGAAATATTATTAGCAAACAATGGAGAAAGGGAAACGGAAACAGAAACAGAATTAAAGAAAGGATAATTGCAACAAATAAGACATACTATGCAAATAAAAAGCTTCTAAAAAATAAATTACTGAGCAAAAAATCGAAAATGAAAATATATAAAACAATAATTCGACCGACTATGATGTATGCTGCCGAAACCCTTAGCATGACAAAAAAACAAGAAGAAGACCTTAGAATACCAGAAAGGAAAATACTAAGAGCAATATTAGGACCAATAAAAATAATGAAAACCAATATAGACAAAGAACGAATCATGAACTACTAAACGAAATTAAAAAGGAAATAGTTTGTAAAATAAAACAGCAAAGGGCAAAATGGCTAGGACATATATGGAGATCAGGACCATCTACGACAATA